GAGGCGAAGATTTGGAGCTACGAGTTGGCGATTAGAGGTCACTGCGCTCACACGGGCTGGGGAATCCCGACCCCGACTCCCAACCCGGCCCCCGGCCCGGCCCGGGTAAGTTGATTTTCCAGGATTCGAGCCGGGATGGGGGCGGGAGAGGCCCCAAAGTCCCCTCAGAGCGACGCGGCGCCCGCGCTCAGGGAGCGACCCCGGGAGGGTCCAAGGCCAGGCTGGCCGGGCTGCGAGCGCCCTGCCCGGGTGGAGGCTGTCCCTGCCCGGGTGGAAGGTGTCCCTGCCCGGGTGGAAGGTGTCCCTGGCCGTGGCAGGGGGTGGGAACGGACGGTGTTTAAGGTCCCTTCCCCCCCGAGCGCCCCGCGCCGTCCCGTCCCCCCGCACTCACCGCGCTCAGGCGGATCCCGCCCTGTGTTTTCGCCGCCATCTTTGGGCCGCGGCCCCGCGCGCGCTTCCGCCTCCCCCCGCCCTGCGCGCTTCCGGCAGGGAATGGGGGACACGGACAGGGATAGGGATAGGGATGGGGACAGATATACGGACAGGGACAGATATACGGATAGGGACAGATATACGGACAGGGGCACGGACAGGGATACGAACATGGACATATATACGGACATGGGCACGGACATGGATACAGACAGGGACACGGATATAGATACGGACATGGATACGGACATGGATACGGACATGGATACGGACATGGATACGGTCACGGCCCCGCCCGGGGCGGGGCGAGGGGACAGGGAGGTCGGTGCCAAACACACCCACGGAACCACCGAGGCCTGGGAAAGCCCTCCCACGACATCCAGTCCCCCCTGTGCCCCATCCCCACCTTGTCTCCCAGCCCAGAGCACTGAGTGCCACAGCCAGGCCTTCCTGGGACACCTCCAGGGCTGGGCACTCCAAACCTCCCTGGGCAGCCCCTGCCAAGGCCTGACCGCCCTTTCCAGCAGGAAATTCCTCCTCCTGTCCAACCTGAGCCTCCCCTGGCACAGCTGGAGGCCGTTCCCTCTCCTCCTGTCCCTTGTTCCCTGGCAGCAGAGCCCGCCCCCCCCCCGGCTCCCCCCTCCTGTCAGGGGGTTGCAGAGCCAGAAGGTCCCCCCTGAGCCTCCTTTTCTCCAGGCTGAGCCCCCCCAGCTCCCTCAGCCCCTCCTGCTGCTCCAGCCCCTTCCCAGCTCCGTTCCCTTCCCTGCACACGCTCCAGCCCCTCCAGGTCTCTCTTCCATGAGGTTCCAGACCTGGACACAGCCCTGGAGGTCCCTCAGCAGTGCCAGCACAGGGGACAATCCCTGCCCTGGGCTGTGCCCACACTATCCCTGATCCAAACCAGGTTCCATTGGCCTCTTGCCCCCCTGGGCACACCCGGGCTCGTGTTCAGCCCCTGTCACCAGCACTCCCAGGGCACTTTGGAGCCCAGTGGAGAAGGACCTGGGGGTGCTGGTGGACAGCTCTGTTGCTCTCCAACGCTCCATGTGTTGTTGTCTGTGGCTCCTGCAGCCCTGCATTTCTACTTCTACATTTCTACATTCCTGCTGCTTTCCCATGTCCAGGGAAGGGAGCGGAGCTGGGGAAGGGGCTGGAGCAGCAGGAGGGGCTGAGGGAGCTGGGGGGGCTCAGCCTGGAGAAAAGGAGGCTCAGGGGGGACCTTCTGGCTCTGCAACCCCCTGACAGGAGGGGGAACCGGGGGGGGTCGGGCTCTGCTGCCAGGGAACAAGGGACAGGAGGAGAGGGAACGGCCTCCAGCTGTGCCAGGGGAGGCTCAGGTTGGACAGGAGGAGGAATTTGTTGCTGAAAAGGGTGGTGAGGCCTTGGCAGGGGCTGCCCAGGGAGGTGGTGGTATCACCATCTGTGGAAGTGAATGTGGCACTTGAGGACGTGGTTTATTCAAGGTGGTGATGCTGTTTGATGGTTGGACTTGACCATCTTAAAGGTCTTTTCCAACCCTGACAATTCTGTGATTTGGCCCAAGTAGCTGAGGTTGTTTCCTGGAGCAGAGCAGGGTAACTGTGGAGAAGCAGCTGGGAATTTTGGTTGGCAGTCCATATCCACTTCCCAACCTCTTCCCTGTGCCCACACTGTGCTGTGTTGTGCTTATCTCCAGCCGCCAGAACAAGGACATCTGTCCCAGACAGTGCTGTCCTACCTCCATATGGCCTCTTCTCCAGCCACATCCTGTTCTTTCTCACAGTGTCTTATTCCCAACAGTCCTTGGATGGCTCCGTGGCTATCGGTGTTTGGCACAGACACATCAGCCCCTCGTCTCCTGGGCTTCTGCAGTATCTCACCCAACACCCCAAAAGGTTTACAGGCTATGAGGGAAAGGGTGAAATCTGAAAAGCAGCTTTCAGGGAGTCATTTGAACCACACTCCTGCAGCCTGAGGAGTAAAGCCCAATGGAATGGAAGAGTTTTCTCCCTTCCAAAAGAAAAGGCATTTCCCTCAACATACGAAAAGGTCCTGGCTGAGGTTGTGCAACAGCAGCCCCTGATGTCCCAGGGAGAGCTGCTCCCTCTGTACAGGGATCAATCAATGATCCTCTGGTGCTGCAGCAGAGCTTCCTCCCCCTGCTCCCTGCTCCAGACACACAGCTCCACACAGGATAGGGATCTCAGGGTGGAAAGTTCAGGAAGGTAAAAGACAGGGACACAGGAGAGGGAGCAGAGGGGGCTTGTGATGAGAGGGAGAGGGAGGCAGCAGCACAGCCAGGGGCCAGTGCTGACTTGTAGTGATCCAGAGCTCAGAGGGAATTTTCAGGAGGAATTCTTCCTGGAAAAGGTGGTCAGGCTTTGGCAGGAGCTGCCTAGGGAGGTTTGGAGTGCCCAGCCCTGGAGGTGTCCCAGGAAGGCCTGGCCGTGGCACTCAGTGCTCTGGGCTGGGGGACAAGGTGGGCATCGGGCACAGGGGGGATCCATGGGCTGGGAGGGCTTTTCCAACCTCAGTGATTCTGGGACTGGATTTGGGAGCTTTTACAGAGCCAGACAAAAATTAAAGTCAGTGAGTGAGCAGTGAGAAGAGTCTGAAGAATAAGAATTGCTTTTGAAAAGGTATTTCAAAATAACATTTAATATTATTAGAAGAATTACATTCATATATAATTTCGGATACATCACTTAATGCTCCACATTTCAAGTCCTGGGTTGCACCTACTACCTTTTTCTTTCAGGAAAATCAAATCCTTTGGATATTTAAAGGTCTCCCTCTGTGGCTCTGCTGTCTCGTCGCCGAAGTATCCGAAAGATAAAGCTGAGCTTGGTTAGACTGAAAACAAGCAAAGACTGAAAGCACAGCAAAGCAAAAGCATTTTCTCTCCTGGTCTTGAGTTCCAGGCAAAAGGGTTTCCAGATTTTATTGACAGTGAAGTTATTCTGCTCTGGCAGGACCAGGTTAGAGCAGGCCAGCCCTCCTTCAGTGGACTTAACAGTGGGAGCATAAGGAGTAAAACAACTTTAGTTAGTCCCATATGGAAAAGGAATAAAGTTATGGAATAAAGGAATAAAATATGCTGGAGATCCCTTTGAGCCTTCCACTAGCCCAGGTTGCTCTAAGCCCTGTCCAGACTGGCCTTGGGCACTTCCAGGGATCCAGGGGCAGCCACAGCTTCTCTGGGCAACCTGTGCCAGGGCCTCCCCACCCTCACCTCATCAGGATTTTAAGGGAAATATCCAAGTATGGAATGCAACCAGCAGAAAGCTGGAAGTAAAAGTACCAAATCATCCTGAGCCTCAAGAAAATAATCCATAAAAACTGTTGAGGATATGTAGGTAATGGACACAAACATTTTAAAAAATAACCTGCTCCAATATTCAAGTAATGCCTTCAAAGGGGAGCTTTTCACTTGTGCTCATCCCAACAGCATTAGAGATCATTAATAAATTAAATCCCTAGAAATAATTCACATTCTTAGTCACCACACAATATCACACCTCAGTCTATCACTTTCCTTAACTGTAAAAATGCAAAGAGTTCATTTAAGTTTAGCACAAACCTACCCTAGTATGATTTTCACAGAGCATTCCAGTATTAGCAGAGTAAAATATGTTTCATTATTTTAGTTTATAATCCCTGGGTGAAAACTTCATCTGCCTGAGGGTCAAACCCACTGCAGAGAAGCCTCCCACATTTGTTGTGTGGGTTTTGAAAAAATAAATCCTGCTGACACTAAACCACCAAACCTTTTCAATTTAGCACTGTGAGGATCTCCCTACCTGTCTTCCCATCTAGGAACAGCCAAATACATTCTTTTGTACAAAAAGTGTTCCTAAAAAAAAAAAAAAAGACTATTATTTTCATTTTCATTAAGCTGCTGAATACAGCAATTTATATTTTTACAGAATTATCTTCACTTAGTTGCATTTCTGAAGTTGCAAAGTGGCCTGAGTCACTGAAAGAACAAAGCATTTTTTTTTAATTTAAAAAACTGAACGATCATATTGTAATCAATTCATTAAAATTAAAAACCCCTCAAGTAATGCTAATTACAAAATGTTACAGCAGAGGTTTGTCTTTTATGCACATTTTTATCTAGGAATTGCAAAGCCTGGAGGATGCTGTTATTGTACAGAGCTGAAATTACAGGCATGGTAAGGCTGCACAACGTAGGAGCCTTAGAAAAATCCATCTGGTTGGAATTTAGGTGATTTCTTTGGAATTTGGTAAGTTTTAGGCCAAGTTAAAAGGGCTTTAACCTCAGGAAACGACTTATCTGCAAACTGATTGTACACTGACATGCAAGATTAGCTTTTTCTCACCTCTACCTTCAGAACACAGTTCCAAAAGCAGCTTAAAATACTTACTGGAGGAGTTCCAGGGCCATTGCTACTTTCACCAAGTCAAAAATATTCTCCCCTTATTTACAAAATGCCTTTAATCCTCCCCAAAGAACACCAGTAAAATACAGTAACTCTGATAAATTACCACCAAACTGCACTTTTCCCCCCCCTCCCACCACCACAGGAACCCGAGATTCCTGCTTTTTAACACCATCTCCTGGGAGAGCACTCCCAAAATGTAGCTTGAAAGCTGGGGGGGATAAAAAAAAGGAATTGCAGCAAAGCTTTCCCTTGTTTTGCTGTTTTCCCACCACGATCCAAAGTGTCCAACACGTGGCTTAACTTTCCATGTTCTCCAGGAAGTCACATTCAACGCTGTCTTCCAGCTGCTGCAAGATCTTGGGGGTGCTGCTGCTTCCAACACAGTCCAGGGAGACAGCTGGGGAAGGGTGGGAATTTTGGGACTGGCTCCTGTTTGCTGTAAATGCCCAGCAGAGAGTCTGGAAGAAGGGCATGAGCTGGGTGATGCTGGAGACGGAGCGCAGGGTCAGCAGGGGGAATCTGTGCTTCTTGGGGATTCCCTCGCTGTGGTTTGGTTCCTGGGAGCAAAATAAAAAGGGATTTACTAAAGGTCCTGTCAGAGAGGAGTTGTTTTCACTGGTGGTTGTGGGAAGATTTAAGGGAAAAGCGGGAAAACTGCCTCTTGTTCCCTTACACTCACAAGCAGTCTGAAATCCTAAAGTTTGAAAGCAGATGATTTTTAAAAGCCTCATGAATTTGAGTAGATTATCGTGGAATCACATGGTTTGGGTTGGAAGGGACCTTAAAGATCATCTAATCCAACGCCCTGCCATGGGCAGGGACATCTTCCACTAGCCCAGGTTGCTCCAACCTGGCATTGGACACTTCCAGGGATCCAGGGGCAGCCACAGCTTCTCTGGGCAACCTGTGCCAGGGCCTCCCCACCCTCACAGGGAAGAATTACCTAAAAATCTGTTGCATAACTTAAAATCTTATCACCTGTTTAGAAAAGTAAATTAATAGATTAAAAAAAAAAAAAAAGAGACGTTTCTTTACCCTGTATTTCATCTTGAGCAGATCCATGATCCTCACAATGTGTGGTCTGCATTCCTGATGGTTTTCTACCAGGTGAGAGGTCACAGGACATGACTCTGTGTCCACCTCTGGGACAAATGCCCATTTGTACCTGAAACAAGATTCCTTGATAAGAAGAAAATCCCTATTTGGATCATTCCTAGTTTAGTATAGCCCTGGTTTCTTTCTAGCATTTGTATTCTTTTGCTATTCATGAACAAGTACATTACTAATTAATGAACAAGTACATTACTACCTTGTCAGTATTTAAATGCAACTACCCCCAAAACATTCCCATGTGTGTGCAAAGGGAAAACAGCCTCCATCTTTCCCTTCTCCCAGTTTTTCCAGGTTAGGGAACCTCTGAAAGAGATGGTGAAGGATGGTGAAATCCTCCTACCCTGACAAGACCAAACTGTTCTCGCAAATACCCTGAATTACAACATCAACACCTGCACTTTCAAAAAGAACTGAGGCCAAAATGAAGTCTGGGAGAAAACAGATGTGGAATGACTTTAAAGGATAAGAATGGGAACAACGTGGTGTGGCAGGATAATCTACCCTGAACAGACCTAAAATCCAGTAATGCACACTATGCAAGCCATAGAATCACAGAATCATGGAATCTGCTGGGTTGGAAAAGACCTCTGAGATCATCCAGTCCAACGCTTGATCCAACCCCACCGTGGTTCCCAGCCCATGGCACTGATGCCACATCCAGTCTGTCCTTAAACACCTCCAGGGATGGAGAATCCACCACTTCCCTGGGCAGCCCATTCCAATGGCTGAGCACTCTTTCTGGAAAGAATTCCTTCCTAATCTCCAACCTAACCCTCCCCTGGCACAGCTGCAGACCCAGCCCTCTTGTCTTGCTGATGGTTCCTGGGAAAAGAGACCAACCCCCCCCTGGCTCCCCCCTCCTGTCAGGGAGTTGCAGAGAGTGAGGAGGTCTCCCCTGAGCCTCCTCTTCTCCAGGCTGAGCCCCCCCAGCTCCCTCAGCCTCTCCTCACAGCACTTGTGCTCCAGTCCCTTCCCCAGCCTCGTTGCTCTCCTCTGCACCTGCTCCAGCCCCTCCATGTCCTTCCTGAGCTGAGGGGCCCAGAACTGGACACAGCACTCCAGGGGTGGCCTCACCAGTGCTGAGTCCAGGGCAGGAATCACTTCCCTGCTCCTGCTGCCACCCTGTTCCTGAGCCAGGCCAGGATCCATTGGCCCTCTTGGCCACCTGGGCACACTCTGGCTCCTGTTCAGCTTCCCTTTCCTGCCTTTCCTGCCCCATGCAGGCCATCATGCCAGCTGTCAGGCCAGTTCAGCTGCTGCCTTGGTGTTCAGTTATGTTGAGACCCTCCTGGTTCACCAGACTTGGAACACACATCCTTTTTTTGACACAAGATGTGACATCCTTACAGATGGCAGATTATTCCATGTACTCCCTTGAAGTGTGGAGCTTCTCCCAGGAAGCAGGGATGCCTCCTCATGGTCACTCCCCAGGGGTTAAGGGAAAGAGAGACATCTGCCTGCTATCTCATATGGTGACTTATATCAATCTCTACTTAATGATTGTTTCTTCTGCTGCTTTAACAGAATTGCTTTGTTACAGTGCATTATATTATTTTGTTATATAACACTCTACTAGTAGATTTTTTTTTTAGCTTTTACATCATGTAGTAAATAATTCTGATTAGGATCTTTCCCCTGTTCACCTGTTTGTTAATTTCTCATAATAAATCATTCATTTATATAAATCTTTGTAGTTTGCCATCGTTAAAACCTGTGGGACAAAGGGGTTTAATAGCTCTGTAATTCCTTTAAATTTAAACTGCTAACACAGTCCGGGGCTAAGATGGGATTCAGCCACACCTGAACCCTTCCCTGGATCTTAAAATGTCTGGATCTTAAAAGGAATAAGTTATTTATGGGGATGCTGAAATGTTCCTACAACTCCATCCCAAACAAAAGTGATGTTTCACAGGCTCTGAGTTCACCTTTACGACTTGTAACAAATTAATAAATCAACCCAGAGATTAAATTAGCGACAACAAAATGAATCCAAAAGGAATTTCCTAATGACCGTGTGAATTTTTATTACCCCAAATTACCAGATTAATGTAAAACCACGAAAACATTTCCAAACAGGGAGGAGAAAAAAGGTGAAGTGGGGAAAAGCCATCCCCTAATTAGTGTGAAATGACTCCTTGTTCCTCACCAATTCTGTCACCATAATTGGAGGAGGAGTTCAGAGAGCCAGGGAGTCCTTCCTGCACCTCCACACCCGCCAGCAAGGCTTTGCTTTTTAAAACTTTGCCTGAGCTTTCCACTGGAGAACCTGGACTTACATTTGGAACAAGTGCATCCTGTCAGGTGGGAAGGAAAGCGCCGTGTCCAAAAATTTGCAGGCTGAGAGGTACAGGGAGAGCTCGCTGTGCGGGATGTCAGACCCGCTGCCGTCCCCAGGGGCCCTTGGCTTGCTGATTTTGCTGTTGCTCCTGCGTCCAAATTCAAGAAATGGCCCATTAAAACACGAATTAAAGGTTTTTCATTCCCACGTTTACAAAAGCAAGCACTGGTAGAACTGGTTTTATTCTGCAGGAGATTATAGGAAATTAATTGTGGGATTAATATGAAAAGGCAGGAGGAGAAAAATAATCTAAAATATACCAAGAAAAAAAAGGCAGCATGTTAAAATATTCAAATGCTGACTTAGCATTTAATCTTATCTTTGTATGCAATTAATAAGTATTATAAAAATACATATCAAAATAAATATATCAAATATATTAATTTAATAATTAATAATTATATAAATATAACAATTATTATATTGTTTTATATTACACATAATATATAATATTATAATATATATGATATATAATACATACTACATTATTCTTATAACACATAAAATATATATAATATATATAATTATATATATAATATATATAATATATAATATACATAATATCATAATATATATAATTATATATAATTATATATAAAAATATTATATAAGATATAATATATTATATAATCAATATACATATGATTATATTATTTTATATTATATTATTATATAATAATCATATTTATATAATTACCAATAAACATTAATAATCATATAAATATAAATATATATTAATGTAATAATTTAAATAATATATTTAATGTATAAAAATATATATTAAATAATTAATATATTTAATATAAAAATATATATAAAATATATTAAAATATATATTAAATATATATTTTTAAGCATCTCACTATTTTAGCTAATAAAAAATAATAAACAAAATTTATTATAACAATACATATATATTATATATATAATTATTATTATAGAATAATTTCATAATATAAAATAATCCTAAACTATGACTCATCAGCACCAGAAATATAAAAGTGCAATACCAAAAAAATCTTGTTGGCTCCTCCCTATCCCAGATAATGAATTAATTAAAGAAATTAAAACTGGCAGATACAGAACAAGCAGCTTTCACAGTTTTTCTTTCAGATAAATGGCAACACTCACTTTGATGGTTCCTCTTCCTCAGTTAGATCTTCTTCCAGCTGCAGGAATGTCTGGATCTTAAAAGGAATAAGTTATTTATGGGGATGCTGAAATGTTCCTACAACTCCATCCCAAACAAAAGTGATGTTTCACAGGCTCTGAGTTCACCTCTACGACTTGTAACAAATTAATAAATCAACCCAGAGATTAAATTAGCGACAACAAAATGAATCCAAAAGGAATTTCCTAATGACCGTGTGAATTTTTATTACCCCAAATTACCAGATTAATGTAAAACCACGAAAACATTTCCAAACAGGGAGGAGGAAAAAGGTGAAGTGGGGAAAAGCCATCCCCTAATTAGTGTGAAATGACTCCTTGTTCCTCACCAATTCTGTCACCATAATTGGCCACAGCGAGGTGAGATGCTGAGGGGAAATCCTTAGCAAGAGAACTCGGAAGAAGAGGAACATCTGGGCAGCAACCAGAGAGGTCTGGCCCCCGCGGAGGTTCTCGGTCAGTCGTTCTGGGGGAAACACAAAGAAGTTAAAAAAAACAAACAAACAAAAGAAAAGTAATGTTTTCTTGAATCTGGGAAATAAAATGTAGAATCACAGAATGGTTTGGGTTGGAAGGAACCTGAGAGATCTTCTAATTCCAATCCCCACGGGCAGGGACACCTTCCACCAGCCCAGGTTGCTCCAAGCCCTGTCCAACCTGGCCTTGGACACTTCCAGGGATCCAGGGGCAGCCACAGCTTCTCTGGGAATTCCGTCCCAGACCCTCCCCACCCTCCCAGGGAAGAATTCCTTCCCAATATCCCATCTAACCCTACTCTCCTTCAGCTTGAGGCCACTTCTCTTGTCCTGTCACTCCAGGCCCTTGTGAAAGGTCCCTCTTCACCTTGTGGCAAAACAAAATGTTTTGCTTTATCATCAGTTTTGGGCTGAGTCCCTTCCATTCTATGAACAAAATTAGGATTCAGACAAAGCCTGAAGCTGTGGTGGGTTTTCAGTACACAGAATTTGGTCAAAACTGACTTTTAAGGAGAACAACAACAACTGGAAGGTTGCTACAAAGTAATCACATTTCCAGACCAAAGGCCTCGAAACACAGATTGCTCTCTTTAATGAGGAGTTTAATTTAGAGATTGATAAATTTTATTAAAATTTAGGAAAAATGGAAGTGTGTGTCGGAAAACAGGTGACATTCCTTTCTTACAGAATTTCTATCACAGAATGGTTTGGGTTGGGAGGGACCTTAAAGATGATTTTGTTCCAACCTCCTGCCACGGGCAGGGACACCTTCCACCAGCCCAGGTTGCTCTGAGCCCCATCCAACCTGGCCTTGGACACTTCCAGGGATGGGGAATCCCTCTGGGCAAAGAGATCTGTGTTCCAGGTGGAAGAGAAAGGCAGATCTTACCCTGTATCAGGGGCAGGTAGAGGTGGTACTGGTCGGTCTCCCCGCTGAAGACGGCGAACGCCTGGCGCTTCAGCAGCATCGCCTTCTGCTCAAAGCTTGGGTACAGTTTTAGGGCACTGCTCTGCATGTCTGTGACAGAGAGAACAATTATCTAACCATGGAAAAGACTCCCTGTGATTTGGGCTGAAAATAATTCCTGTGTCCTGAAATCTAAAGGAGAAAAAACTCTCTTTTTGGGTCTGCCGGTGGCGAATTCACCTCGCGCTGTAAACCTTGGCTATCCTTCTAAAAGGGCTGAAAAAGAGATCAAAGCTGCTTGAGGCAAATTGAAGGGGTGCTATCCCATCCTTCCCCCCCAAGGACCTATTCTTCCACACTCTCCTCAGGCCTGAATTAGAGGTCAAAGCACCTGACTGCAAGGTTTTCTGCACTGGCTCGTGCCAGCTCACAGACACCTGCAGACTTAGGCAAAGTCTCCTCCTGGAAAAGGTCACACTTGAGCAACTCAAAATTAGGGTAAAATGTGGATGCAGGAGCCCAACACAAGCATTTCTACAACAAACCCACTTCTGGTGTGTTTTAAACGTGACTAAAATACAGATTTAACTCAGCACAGGCAGTAAAGTTGACAATGTGGTCAATGATGCTGAATCAGCAGTGTCAGCATTTTATTGCTACATCAGGATATTAAAAATGCACCTGATACCTCAAATGGAAATAGACCCCAAACTGATGCAGAGGTGAGTCCTCAGCAGCTGATACTTACTCATCAAATCTTTAAACATGGTTTTCTCGTGTGTCAGGAGATGGTCAATAATGGATCTCCAACTGCAGGAGATAAAGAAGGGATTAGATAAACAGGGAAAGCTTTGGAATAGATTCGCCTCAGCAAAGATTGGGGTTAAACCTTTCAAACAAGGAAACATTTTCCAAGCATGATTCATGAGCAGACTTGTATGTGGGTTAACAAATAAGACACTGAGCAGAATTAGTGGGTGAGACCCATTTTTAACATTATTCCATGCTGTAAAGTAGTACCAAATGGAATTTTCTTCCCAATGTTAGCCTTCTCCTTTACAGCCTTTCCTTGCCAATTCAGAATACAAGCTTGGAGTGCTACAATCCCATGTCTTACTGAGTGCATGAAGTGTCCATCTGGAAAAAAGAGGGATCCATGTACAACTCCAGCACTTCTTTTTTCCAGGCTCGCTTGGTGTAGGCGTATCCACTCAAGGAGCTGAGCAACTGAGCACCAGCACGGAAACTGGGAATGTTGTAGGCACTGGGGGAAGAGAAAAAAAATGATAAACAGGTATTTTTTTAAAGTAAAGTTTATGTATATAGGAAATAAATTTGGGACAGTGGTTTTAAACTGCCAGAGGGTGGGGTTAGATGGGATATTAGGAAGGAATTATTGACTGTGAGGGTGCTGAGGGGCTGGGATAGAATTCCCAGAGAAGCTGTGGCTGCCCCTGGATCCCTGGAAGTGCCCAAGGCCAGGTTGGATAAACTTGGAGCAACCTGGGCTAGTGGAAGGTGTCCCTGCCCACGGCAGGAGGTGGAACTGGATGATCTTTAAGGTCCCTTCCAACCCAAACCATTCCATGACCTCTATGACCTGTGTGTCCACTGGCTGGTAACGGGGAGCAGCAGGAGCTGGGCAGACCAAAGCAGTTTGTGCAGAAGCAACTCCCAGTCTGGGGAGGTATTTCCAGACTGGACACATCACAGCCTGTCTCCACTACAAGTGTGAACCAAAACTTCCCTCCAAAAAAAAATTTCCAATACACTTTGCATCCTTGTCAGCCAAACCCTTGGATATCACCCATCTCTCCCACACTTTTGGCTGAAAAACTAGGCACAGGTAAGGGAGATATCCTGCTCTTACTGCTTCCTGGTGGATCCTGTGATGTGCCCAGTGCTCTGCTGCCCCATCCCAGTGTCTCTCCACATTCCCTGACAAGCACAGAGAGGGGAAGCTTTGAGGAAAGGCCAAAAATCCAGGTGGGAGGAACATCTACAGCTAAACGGGAACTGCTGTCACAGAGCTCAAACCACACAAGGTTGCAGCTCCTGGGGGAAATACAGCTCAAACACAGCTCAAATACAGCTCAAGCCTTATTAGAATGGAAACAAGGAGTGGGAAAAAAAAAGGAAAAGCAAAAATATAACACTGGGGTCCAAAAAATCAGAGGACAAAACCACGTGTGCAGAGAGAGACCCACCTGTGGTTGCGCAGGTAAGGGAAGACGTAGTAGAGCAAACGTGAGATCAGTGGCACAGCTTTGTCCTTCTCATCACTCCTGTAAACCACGTCCAGAAGAGAAGCAAGGACCTCAAAAAATGAAAAGAACATCTCTTTAACCCCAAAGCTGGCATTTCTGGCAGAAGGGGAATGTGCCACATTCCAGGATGGAACGTGTGTGCCCACGAGATGCTTCAGGGAAGGTTTGCACTCCTATTTTATCTACCTGGGAAACTTAATGTTTAGTAAGTTAAATTGAACTGCTTAATAATATCAAAGCTTAATAATATCAAACCCACCTCAGCTTAATAATATCAAAACCACCCCAGAGATGAGAGGGTCCTACTTACCTCAGCAAGGAGAGAAAGGGCTTGGACGCTGTATATGGAAGGAGCAGAGGCAGAAACCATTGAAGATGGTGCCACTGAGGTATCTGAAAGAGGCAAAATAATTTAGTGTTCTTCTTCAGGCATGTCCAGATTTTGCTGTTTCCTAATTTGCCTCCCAAACAGAACTGCTGCTTGCATGTTGGTATCACAGTGGAATGTAAACCCATGCAAACCACACACTATCAAACACCTTGTGCTCTTCAAGGCCTTCAGCAGAGGAGAGGAGGGAGCAGGAGGTCAGAGAAAACCACTTTACCATTCACATCTTCCATGTTGAAGTCATCTGGTAAAATCTGAGGCTGAGCTTTCACTTCCAAGTTCCTGCTCAGCCAACTGGTCTGTTCCAGAGAAGAACCAGCCACAGTCCCTACGGCCTCCAGGATTTTTTGGGTCACCTCCTGTAAGATGAGCAGAAAAAGTGGCATCAGATGGACACTATCATCACTTGGCATATTTAATTCCCAGGGAAATGAGAAGCTGGTGACTGTAACTAAACCAAACCCCATCTGGCCAAAGCAAAGCAGAGGTCACTTGGGAAAAGGCTGTAAGATGGCAAAGCTTTCTGTCACTGTTGTTATTTTGTTGGCAAGTCTCTGAAGCAGAAGTGGAGACTTAATTGCTCTGTTGGCATACAAAATTACTATAAACATAACCACATCTCACCTCCTCAGAGCCAAAACTGCACCCACATAAGTGGTGCTTGAACTGTTGTGGTGAAATCACCACCAGGACAGGAGGAAAATCCTGCTCTGCTCCGCCCCTTCTTTACACAACAGGTGAGCTCAGAGTCATTTCCATTGCCAAACACAGCTGGGAGCTTCAAGGATAATTAGGCCACTAATTTTCCTAGATAGCTTTGAGATTTCAGTATTTACACACAGGAGATGAACCCTTGACATCACACTTGTGTTACGACTCCAATTCTGAGAGAGATCATTAAAACTACCCAGGGAAATCACCTTTGAAAAGTCTGTGGTTTCACACAACATTTGGACAAAATTTTGTTTGTCCCTCCTGTTTGAGCCTCCCTTATTTACCAGGCCTCAGCCAAAATGTGTGGATGCACATCCAGGCATTCCCAAAAGCACAGGGGAATTCAGATGTGAAGGACAGAGCAGGTCATGTCCACTTTTACTCAGATGTACAGATTTAGGAACTGAAAGATGAGCATTTCTCCACTGTACCTGCAAGTCTTTTTGGTCTTTTTTGTTTTCCAGAGTGGGTGTCCTGGTCACAAAGTCATTCAGGGTGCTGTGGGAAAAGCAATTCCCTCCAGGTTAGTGGCTGTACATGTCTGTCAATGCACCTCTAAAGCTTCTCTCTTAGTACCTGAGGAGAAGGAAGTGTCCAGGAGGAGCCAAGTTCAACTGCACAGACTCCTTGAGGAGTCCTAACAAGGGCTGGAAGTTCTCCTGTAGGGCTGAGACAGGCAGTCTGCCAAAAAAGCAACACCAGAACACACCTGAGTGAAGGTGGAGTCATGGAAAGAACAACAAACAACATCCAGGGGTAACTCCTAAACGTACTGCTTACAGTCTGTTGGACAGTCTGATCTATCCCAGGCTTTCCATGGAAGAAAAGCCAAGTGTGTGAAGAAGAGTTTTGATCAAAGGAGTATTTCCAGTGGACTGCCCAGCCCAGGCTGCAGCCATGGCAGTTTTACTGTATTTAGAAGTTCTCTATCCATTCATTGGGCAACACAGAACAGATGAGGAGAAAGATGATAAAAAATCATAGACATGGAATGGTTTGGGTTGGAAGGGACCTTAGAAATCACCCAGTCCCACCCACTGTCATGGGCAAGGACACCTTCCACTAGCCCAGGTTGCTCCAAGTCCTGTCCAACCTGGCCTTGGACACTTCCAGGGATCCAGGGGCAGACACAGCTTTTCTGGGCAACCTGGGCCAGGGCCTCACTACCCTCATAGACAAGAATTTCTTCCCAATATCCCATCTATCCCTGCCCTCTGTCACTTTGAAGCCATTCCCCCTTGTCCTGTCCCTCCATTCCTTGGAAATAGTCTCTCTCCATCTTTCCTGGAGCCCCTTCAGGCCCTGCAAGGCCACAATCAGGTCACCCCAAAGCTTCTCCTCTCCAGGCTGAACAATCCCAGCTCTCCCAGCCTTTCCTCCCAGCAGAGCTGCTCCAGCCCTGGGATCCTCTTGGTTCCTGCTCTGGCCTCTCTCCAGCAGCTCCATGTCCTTGCTGGGCTGTTCCCCAGGGCTGGAGCAGCTCTGCAGGGGGGTCTCACCTGGGAGGCACAATCCCCCCCGCCCTGCTGCCCACACTGTTTTGGATGCAGCCCAGTCTTGCTCATGAGATGCCTGAAGTTGCTCCATGAGCATGAAATGAGGTTTTCAGGCTGCACAATCAACAGAGCAATGGAACAGAACATCCCAGCCCTGGTACTCCATGTCTGTGTGGCAACAATGAAGGGACAGCACATTTCCTGCACAAAGGTGTTCTGTGACACTGGGACACGAAGATCAAAGTAAAGCAGAAACAGTGATGCAGAGTGTTCTCCTGACTAGAGTCAAACAAAAAAATTCTCCTTTATAACATCTGACTGACCTTTGAATGAAAGCATAACTGAACTGCAGCATTGGGATATCCACGAGAGAAGATTTCTGAAAAAGGAAAAAGCATCACCAGAATTATTTGCCATCAGAAAGAAAAAGAAGGTCCAGGCTGTGCAATACTTGTTTTCAGTGGTTACCACGCCCTTCAAGTGAAGCCACTTGTACTCCAAGAGGTGACCAAAGTATCTGTAGAGCAGTTCAGGACAGAAATGCATCCCTGAGTCATAAATGTGCAGCAGTTGCACAAAAATGTCACCGTCCCCTGCACTGGAGGCCCCCACACCTTTTCATTCCCAGCAACTTCTCCAGGAAAATATTGGAATCACAGACTGGTTTGGGTTGGAAGGGACCTGAAAGATCTTCCAGTGCCACCCCCTGCCATGGGCAGGGACACCTTCCACTAGCCCAGGGTGCTCCAAGCCCTGTCCAACCTGGCCTTGGACACTTCCAGGGATCCAGGGGCAGCCACAACTTCTCTGGGAATTCTATCCCAGCCCCTCCCCACCCTCACGGCCAGGAATTCCTTCCCAATATCCCATCCAACCCTGCCCTCTGGCAGTTTAAAACCACTGCCCCTTGCCCTGTCATGATCTGCTCAATAGTGATGTTCTGAAGAACTTTCTTACACTGAGGGAGCAAAACACAGAAATCCACATTCTGGAAAACAAAACTTATTCAGGAGCAAAAGAGAATCCCACACTTAAAAGAAAAACCTTCTAACAATGCTGAGCAGACACACTGGGACAGATCCAGGAGAGAATATATGAAAAAATGGAAATATCTCCGTGGTTACCTCTTCACCCTTGATCTGTGCTGGTTTCTTGACCACCTCTTTGATAAGATGTAAAATAGTGTCAGTTTTCAGTGTGTTAAGGGCACAAATTAAGTCCACAAGAACAAGCTGAGATGCACTGGCCACTGGAAGGATCTGACAAAACAAGACAAAGCAAAAGACAAACCCCTCAGACCCCTGGGCCACACAAACCAGCTCTTTGTGTGATTCCCCAAACACCAAAACTTATACAAAATGTACATTACAGAGGTTAAATCAAACACAGACCCCTTTGCCATATACAGGTCTTCTTCCAACACCTTATGAAAACAACTTTTTCATAAAAAGAACAGTTTGATTATGCTAAAATGAAAAGAAAGAGGTTCTGATCAGAATAAATGTTCAGTTCCAGAGAACACTACAGCTCTGGCCTTTCTCTGGAAATGGAATTTGATTCATGGTCTTGAAAACATAATTGTCAAACTGCAATCCTAAGACTGCAATCCAGTGTTGAAGAAAAAACTGCCTGTTACTTCTAGACTTAAACTGCTACACTGTCCTTTATTTGATTATTTATTTAGGTCTAATTGTAGTCCTGATGCTTTTTATAAATAAGAACACTTCAGATTTTTCAGTCACTTGTAAAAAAACCCCAAAGAATCAACAAACAAACCCAGAGTTTAGAACTGATCATACAAATATAACATTTGCCTTTACACTGGAAAACTAAGGGTGCCTTTCTTGAGTTTCACCTTGGTTTTACTTTGACTCCTGTGAGGTTTCTTGCTGTTCCAAACTGCTGCAATTGCTGCCATCAACTGGATTCCAAGTTGGGCTGTCAGTGGATTCAGGAAGTCCAATATTTTCATTCTTAATGTCTGTAGAGGGGAGGGAAAAATAACTAACTGTCAATGCCATCCTTTGTAAGGCAAAGACCCTCTCAAGATATTCAGAAAACACAAAATTAAAGAACTCTGTAAAATGCACTGATGAGGAGGATGAGATACAGGGCAGTTTAAAAGGACTCCTACTTTGGTTGCTTTAAAATAGACTGAAGAAGAGCCTTTGGTTGTTCCAAAGAAGTCAGTTGGTCTTTTTTGAGAGTCTTCCCTCTTGATGACACTCCAAAGCAGGGACATGGTGTTGATAATGCGAGGCAGTTCTTCCAGGATGGCATTCCTGGCATTCCTCAGGTTTGCAGGTTCAGCTAAACACGACTAGAAAAAAAACCCAACAAAATACGGATATTAAAATACATCATATTATTGCACCACAGAGGCTAAAAATTGTAGAGAACACATCAACATGTTATCAACTCAAAAGAAAATAGAAGGGTTTGTTAATGACAGAGCAGAAAAACTACACAGGACTAATATTTGCATCACCAAGAACATCTACTTAAAATTAATTTTCTGCCTTCAAATAAAATTAGGTTCATCCTCTATCCTTAAACTTCGATTTGGTTCAATTTTTGGGGTGTGCTGTGAAGTTTCTTTAAGGTTATCTTTTTGTATAAGTGGTTTGCTACCTCTATTCACCCCTGAGGAAAAAGGGATGTGGACTCTGCTGACCTGGAGCTGAGTTCTCAGGTGAGTGGTGGGCATTAAAACTTACCTTTTTTGTTGGATTAGGATGGTCCAGAAGGCAGAAGTGACCAATGGTTGTCAGACCTTCCAGAAGGGTTAGTGGGTAATCAGGTGTCACATTTTCTCTCTTGGAAGTTAAGCTTTGGAGGAGGATTAAAAACCCAAACAGGTTAACAGGCCAAGGGCTATTTCCTTGATTAAAAATTCCATTCTTATTTCTATTCAACAGTTAAAACTGGAGTGACCAGACAGGAATATCAAAACAAAGGATTCCCAGACTATTCTTGGACAACCCCATTTTGTTGTTGAGACCTTTTAGAATTTTATTATCCACCTGACTATAAATCTTCAGCATTCAATTACTTTTCCCTACTCCTTTCACTCACTGCCTGTTCTGAACAGTCTCTCTTTTTCTTCTCCAGGGTGTCTCTCCTAAATTAGTCCTCCAAAATCCTCAGTCTTGTCAAAACTGGGAACTTCTTTTCTTGGATGGAAGGCAGAGGGGGACAGGCTGCTGGTTCTCTTTCCTCTCTTCCTCCAACTTCCTCCAACTGCTGCAACAATCCTGTCTCCAGCTTCCCTGGGCTCCAGGGACAGGTGTAGCAGGATTTGGGGATCAGACTCTGGGAGCCACAGTGCTAAACCAGGGAGTTCCTACACACTCACTGCTCTGCACAACAAACCCCACCCTGCTGACTCTTACCTGGCAGATGTTTTGGCAGACGCCTTCACAGCTTCGTTTTCATACTGCTTGACAAGCTCATCCAGGTTTTTACAGATCTGTACCACGAATGGTGCCACAGTCCAGCCCAGGGATTTCCCAAAATAGGGCAGGGAAGACGTGACCAAGCCCACCCAAGTGGGATGCATCCCATAGCCATACTCCGGCTGCAAACCCCGAACCACGGCAGAGACAAACAACCCCTGGGAAGTGATGGGATGTGGATAGACATATTGCATGGCACCAATGGCCTGCTGGAAGTTGAGAGCCTGCTGCCACTCCCTGGAGAGGTCTGGCTGATTCTCCTGCTCCTCGGGGGTCTGTCCGAGGTGGTGCTCCAAGACAATCAGCACCTGCAGGAGCTTCAGCAGCTCGATCTGCAGCGGGTGTTCGCTCCAGATTTGGTCGTGTCCAAAGTTGATCAGGCTCTCTTCCCAGAGCTCTCCCTCGGCACCACGGCCGGCCCCGTCCGCCAGGAGCAGCTCGTAGCGTTTCTGACTGACGTACATGGAGGCCGACAGGGACAGGAGGACGAACTCCTGCACTTTGCACCTCCCCAGCAAGCTGCGGATGAACTCCACGTTCCTGCTCTCCGCCGCCTTGGCCACGGTGGCCAGCTGGGCCACCACCCGGATCAGCACCTCCACGCTCTTCACCTGCACGTCCCTGTTGCCCAGGAGGTCCCTGTGGGTGACCTTCAGGCAGCAGGGGTAGTAGGAGCGCAGGAAGCTGAGGCAGAGGTAGGTGAGCAGCTCTATCAGCAGGGAATGGGGACACACGGTCGGGGACTGGGGCTGGAGCTTCCCATAAAAACTCTGCCCTACGAGAGCTTCCTGGTGGCGAGCCAGGAGGTTGTAGATGAGGTTCAGATGCGCTGTGGAGCTGGTGTCCATGCTGGTGCTGGCCACGGCCTCGATGAATTCCTTGGGGTTGGTTTTGAGCACGGCCTCCAGCACGGAGAAGGCGTAGAGCACCCTCCTGGAGTCGTAGGGCTGCAGGTACAGCAGCATGTGCTTGAACAGAGCCTCCACCATCTCCTGCTTTTCCTTCTGCTGCTTCAGCAGCCTGGAATGGGTGATTTCCTGCAGCTCCAGGTCCACCTCTTCGTCGCTCGACAGGGACTCCGAGGCCTGAGTCCTCTCGGAGTCGGCGCGCACCAGGTTCGGCGCCGCGCTGGATTTGGAGCTGTCGGACAGGAGGGAGTTGAGCGCATTCCCGGGATTTGGGGCCTCTCTGTCATTGTCCTCGTTGCTCACCTCCTGCAGCTCCAGAGAGGGAGAGAAGGAGGATGTGTTCTCACTGTCGTGGCCTGTGCTGGTGTCCGCGGACTCCGTGTGCTCGCTGTTGTCTTGGTCACCATCTGCTTCCTGGGGAATTATGGGATTACAGGGTCCATCATTCTCAGGTTTTAACTCTGGATCTTTTTCCACTTCTGCCCAAATTGCCTCTCTATCCACAGTAGTAAACTGGCTCAGTGGAAGGTTTTCCTCAGAATTGCTCTCGGAGATGCCAGACTCTTTCATAGGGGCCTTTTTCTTGCAAAGCCAATCATGTATAAAGTCTGAAAAAAACCCACATTTTTTGGGGTCAAAAAGAGCACATAATTGTCTTTTCCATACATAAAATCATATCACAGTTCGAGTTGGAAGGGATGTTTAAAGGTCATCTGGTCAACACAAGGTGCTTTTTATATTGAATAAACCATTGCAAGAAAAAAAAGGTTACAAATCTACTCTGCTCTAGCCTCGTATTAATTGTAAGGAGTGGGGTAAAAAATGGGTTAAGGCAGGAATTATTTCTTTTTTAAAGTGGTAGAGCAGCTCTAACCTACTGTGAGCAGAGAGAACAGGATCCAAACATAAAGCACGTGCTGGTTCTCTTAGGCTGTTACTCCCTGGATGTGACAATTGTCTTTTTTTGTGCTTCCTGAACATTAAATCAGGAGATCAGGAGGGAAACGAGAAGGATAGCATCAGAGAGCTCAATTAATTAATTAATTAATTAATTAAAGAGCTAATGTTCTCCTTGATTAAATGCTGTGGAACAAGCACTGTGTTTCTATAGCATCTCATAAGCAGGTCCCTGTGGATGCTATAAATGGGTGACATCCAGGTATTTGCCAATCCAGACAGGAAAGCACTGCTGCAGGCTGACAGCCTGCTAAGAGTCTTGAGACAGGTGACATGGAAGTTTCTTTACACAGAACTTCCAGCTGCTTCTCCACAGCCCTCCTGCTCTGCTCCAGGAAACCACCTCGGCTACTTGAGCCAAATCATGGAATCATTAAAGTTGGAGAAGACCTTTAAGACCCTCGAGTCCAATCATCATCCAATTCACCACTAAACCACCTTCTCAAGTGCCATATCCATATGTTTTTTGAACACTTCCAGGGATGGGGACTCCACCACCTCCCTGGGCAGCCCCTGCCAATGCTTGACAACCTTTTCTGTGGAGAAATTCCTCCTCCTGTCCCACCTGAGCCTCCCCTGGCACAGCTGGAGGCCGTTCCCTCTCCTCCTGCCCCTTGTTCCCTGGCAGCAGAGCCCGACCCCCCCCGGCTCCCCCCTCCTGTCAGGGGGTTGCAGAGCCAGAAGGTCCCCCCTGAGCCTCCTTTTCTCCAGGCTGAGCCCCCCCAGCTCCCTCAGCCCCTCCTGCTGCTCCAGCCCCTTCCCAGCTCCGTTCCCTTCCCTGCACACGCTCCAGCCCCTCCATGTCTCTCTTGCCACAAGGCCCCAGAACTTGGCATGTTCTGCCCTGCCACATTCCTAAATCTTCCCAAATTCCTGGGTGGCTGGAAATCATCTTCAACTCCAAACATCTCTCTTTGCTTTTCCATCTCAGCTCTGGGATACCTCTGACACAAAGGCTCAGCTCTGCTCTTGCATCAGGGCAGATCTTCTCTGGACACTGATATTTTAATTTTTCAGAACTCAGCAACAGCAGGTGAGGGTTTGTGTGTCGTGTGCCCACACCAGCAAAATATTCCTCACAACCTGGCTGATTGTTTTAATGTCATGCTGAGGGAATCATGGACAAAAAGTATTTGGAATAAAGAAACCTGGGGCAAGACTGGATGGAGAGAGTAAGATCTGCCTGTCCATCCTCCCTATGGAACAGTTCCTGGATTGACACAGTCACCAAACTGCTCCTGGATTTCTTTTGGTTGCAGACCTAGTTTTGCTCAAGAAGGGATCCTGAAAACAGGGGACAATGCAGTGTGGATCATCTGGGAATGGCAAGGAGAAGTGTGGGATGAGATCCCAGAGCAAAGCAGGGAGCAATCCAAACCAACAGACCCCATAATAAAAATGATCATTTAGGCCTTCAACCAGCACGAGCTACTCCTGAACCCTGCTTCAGGCATCACTGTAGGGACTTGGATGAGGAGGAATCCACGGATCTGATGGAAAACAACTGAGGGGAGCAGATTGCCATCGCGTTTCAGAGACTCCCCTCAGGAATTCAGTCTGATCCAAGAGCAGCTTTACCTGCTGAGTGTTTCTGTTTGATGTAGTGGATGGAGGTGCGCTGTGTCCTGGGATGCAGCAGGAGCAGCAGGATTGGCTCCAGGATCCGGGCCACGTCGTTGAGGGACAGAGCCCGGATGAGCCAACCCTGCGCCGCGGCTCCGATGGCACCGTCGGAGCAGTTCAGGCTGTCCAGGACCACAAACAGGGACCTGAGGGGAGAAACCACAACAGAGACAGCTGAGACCCCCCCAAAAAGGGTTAATGCATCCAACAAAATCCCAGGAACAGACAGGGAGCACGGTCAAGGAAGCACCAGCCAATGGATCACGTCTGCTTCCAACAGCTGGGTCACGCACGTCCTCCTGGGCTGAGCTCAGGAACACGTGGATCTGTAGGAATGAGGCCACACATTTCCTCACACTCTGCATGAGGAACAGATTTCAAAGTTCTTCCCCATATTTATTTAGGAGGAGTCTCATTTTACATCTTCCCCATATTTATTTAGAAGGAGCCTCATTTTACACAAAGGTCTCGTAAAGAGGAAGCAAAACCAAAATAAGATCATTTTTTCCCCTACTTTTTCCATAAGTGGCTGGTGCTATTTTCCTTTTGTCTCGTTTTACACAAAGGTCTTGCAAATACTAAAACAGGCAAAACTAAAATGAGATTATTTTTTTCCTACTTTTTTTTCCCTGACTTTTCCCACAAGTAGCTGGTGCTGTTTTCCTTTGGAAGACAAACCTAACCCACCCCAAGACAAAAAAAAAAAATATCTGCTATGCAGGAACTTGTTTGCAAACTACTCTTCACAAATGAAGCTCTTTCTATTTTTCCAGCACCTTCCTTCATCCAAGAAACCACTCCCTGCACTTGGAGTGCTCTGCAAAGGGAATGGTGCCAGGAAGTGGAAGATCTTCCTTTTGCTCATTGTTTACTCTCTCTCTCTCTCCAGAGGACTCTTCCCCACATCAGAAAAGAAGAGACTAAAGCATGAAATAATTAAATATATAAATGCAATGATATAAATGCACGATATAATTAAATATAAATGCAATTCCAAGCCAGTGGAAATGGGAAATACCTGTCAAAGGAGCGGTTGTGAGAAGTCACTCTGCTGCCTTGGATCTCTCTGGTCAGATGCCACATGACAGAGAACCTGAACAGGGCCTCCAGCCTTGTCCCCTTGGCAAGGAAAACGAGACAGACACAGATTTAGAATCATGGAATCACAGACTGATTTGGGTTGGGAGGACCTTAAGGATCATTTCCTTCCATATATCTGTGAATGCACAGTGGAAACCCAACAGCCACAGCGTTTCTGGAGCATAAAAAGATGTGCCAGGTACACCAAAAATGTCCTTCAGGACTCCTGTGAACGGACATTTTAGTCTTGGTTTGGTGTTAGAGAGGTTTAAAAGTTGGGTGACAACTGGGAGGACATTGGTGTATCAGGCAGGGGTGGTTGTGGGGCTTTTTGTTTGGAAGCTTTTAAAAGATTTCCAAATTTTCTCAAGCCTCAAAATTGCAAAGATACAGGAAAACGACAGCAAAGGGGCTGGGTTGGGTTTTATTGTGCAAGGCACTTCTCAAAAATGTACTGGCAGTTGTTAAAGAACTGCTCTGTCATTAAGGAAAGGAATTAATAACTGGCTCACTTTAAAATACAGCTTAATCTGAGAACCAAACACTAAGGTGGACAGGGGGTCAACGTGATGATGACAAACATTTACAAGGTATTAAAGTCTTTTGTTGGAGTATGAAGCTTATAAAATCAATCCAAAAATAAAGTGATTTTACACTTATTGGTGGAAATACTGACAAAACCAGCAAGTTTTTAGATACTGCAGGATTTGGGCTGAAACTAAGAAAGCTCCAGCAAGGACTGACAGAGTTTGTATCCATGGATTAAGTTCAGAAGTAGCCACATGATGAATAAATCCCAGGGAATTGTAAAGGCATGGACAGAATCTGTGAGGACAGAGGGATGACGGGAATGAAGACAGGAGGTGGAAGGGAATTTGGGAAGCACTGGAACAACTCAGCAGTGATGAAGGGGCTTCAGAGGATTCAGGACTCACTTTATCCCTGTCCAGCAGAGCGTGGCAGATGATGTCCTCACAGATATTTGCTGATGGGGCCAGGCAGTGCAGCCTGTAGAACAGTTCCACACAGGGAATGTGGTGCTCCCGAGTCTCCTTGTTCAGCTGGTTCCAGAGCACACAGGCTACTCTCTAGGGAAAAAGAAACAAATAAATATAATAATAATAATCCTCATCATCCTCATTTCTTTCCTGACTTCCAAGCTTTCAACACCCCAAATGTTACCAATACAGATTTCCAATTCGTCTTAGAATCGTGGAATTCTACGAGCCAGAGGTTCAGGGTAGGAAAAAAAGGAGAGGAAAAAGGACAACCTGGTAGAAATCTGTTTTCTCTGAGATCATCTTTAGGACTGCAGGAGCGATGGGAGGGAGGGTGACCATCTGCAGCTTGCCCAGGAAGGGGTTGTGGCTGGACACTTTGTAGCGCTTCATCCTGTCCTCGATGACCAGAGCCAGGGACTGGGAGTGGTTGATCACCTCCAGCAGGGTGAAGATGGACACGTTCTGGACGTAGCAGTCGTTCACACAGCAGCAGATGGTCATCAGGGACCTCAGCCACAGAGGGAAGCTGGGATCACAACCTCCTCGGAAGGGAAGGGAGACAAAGGGTTGGAATAATCTCCAGGTCGGGGTCACGTTCCCAAGAATTCTCCAAGCAAGGTCACAGGACAAAAGAGACAAAAATGACTTCCTAAATCCAAGTATTGTGCTAACACAGAATCACAGAATCAGCTGGGTTGGAAGGGACCTCCGAGATCATCAAGTCCAACCCTTGATCCAACCCCACCGTGGTTCCCAGCCCATGGCACTGATGCCACATCCAGTCTGTCCTTAAACACCTCCAGGGAGGGAGAATCCACCCCCTCCCTGGGCAGCCCATTCCAATGTCTGACCACCCTCTCTGCAAAGAAATTCTTTCTAATATCCAGCCTAAACCTCCCCTGGCACAGCTGAAGACCCAGCCCTCTTGTCTTGCTGATGGTTGCCTGGGAAAAGAGACCAACCCCCCCTGGCTCCCCCCTCCTGTCAGGGAGTTGCAGAGAGTGAGGAGGTCTCCCCTGAGCCTCCTCTTCTCCAGGCTGAGCCCCCCCAGCTCCCTCAGCCTCTCCTCACAGCACTTGTGCTCCAGTCCCTTCCCCAGCCTCGTTGCTCTCCTCTGGCCCTGCTCCAGCCCCTCCATGTCCTTCCTGAGCTCAGGGCCCAGAACTGGACACATCATCAGTATTTCATAGAATCTTAGTTTGGTTTGGAAGGGACCTTAAAGATCAGCTTGTTCCAACCCCCTGCCATGGGCAGGGACACCTTCCACTAGCCCAGGTTGCTCCAAGCCCTGTCCAACCTGGCCTTGGACACTTCCAGGGATGGGGAGTCCACAACCTCTCCATGTTTTCCCTAATTCTCCCAGCAGAAACCTCTTGCAGGACCCCAGTAACCCACATAACTAGTGGCTTTCTGCTTTCCAGTTTACATTTATCCACAACTAGTGGTCAGAGCTGCTGTTTTCCAGCTGCCATTGTCACAGCCAGCTCCAGAGGGCTGCTGATCCAGAGATGTTTTTCCAGCAGCATGGAGGTGTGTCATTCCAGAACCCACCAAGCACACAGGGAACTGGGATGGCTGACATCCAGTCAAGCCATCTTTGCCTCTCCTGAGGAAATAATGCCAAGTCTGCCATGTCCATGCCAAGCAGAACAGCTGACCCATGGAGATGATGGGAATATCACCACTTGGCTAAGGAAGACAGTAGAAATGGGTAGTGGGGTGAGGAAGAGAACCCCATTTTCCAGTTTCTCCCCTCTCCATTCCCTACAAACCTATTTGTCAGCTGGTCTTCAGGCCAATAACTGAAGCTGAGGAATGAGCTGGAATTCCAAGAACAGGCCCTCCAGTTATACAAGGTTATTCTTACACATTACATTGGACTCCTTTGAATTCTGAGGGTTTGGGAAAGAGATGGTTTTGCTTCTGTTATGGTTTAGAGCTCATCTGCCTCTAAAACATCTTTTTTTGGGGGAAACGTGGCATGTGGACAGTGGGGGATGTACATCCTGAAAATCCTGAACTGTGCCACAGGGTCTTTTCATCCCTTCAGCTACAAGTTTTGTAGTGAAAGTTTCAAAGGAATGTGAATCTGAAAAGCTTGGCAAAGCTTGTGCCTCAGCTGCAGGACACAACACACACGCTGAGGTGGGCAAGTTTAATTCACAGGCAACTTCAGCCCTGCCAGAAGGGTTTTTTACTGGCCCTGGTCACGTGTCTTTGCAAATCCCTAAGCTCCCACTGCTATTTCCATCCTCAAATGCTCAAGTTGCCCAGGAAAGGAATCTTTTCTTACCAGGAACCTCAAACAGAGAGAGATACAACTGTTCCATCTCCTCCTCCGACAGGTAGACTGGGAACGTGGTGCAATCCAGCAGAAGGTGACAAGCTGCAGAGAAAGCTTCCTTGCAGTCACCTTTAAGGGGTCCCAAGACCAGCATCACTTGTTCCAAATCCCACTCTTCTTCCTCCTTTTCCTTTTTACTCCCAGAGTCGTGGTCAGGGAGCAGAGGGCTGGAACTCTTGCTCCTGAAGGGAGACCCCCGGGCTGAGAACAAGTCTGAAAGCATCTGTTTAACCTGAGGCACAGTGATCTGCTTGGCATCCCAGGGACTCTTTTTCTTGCTGGCACTCTCAGGGAACCTGTATCCATTCTCCTTTTTCTCCTTCCCACTGGGATTCGTTGCCGAAACGCGCTCGTTACTCGTTTCTTGGAGCTGCACCCCAAAAATGTATTTACTGGAAAACTTGGCAACCAGCTCTTGGATGCACAACAGAGTCTTCTGGATGCTCCCCCCTTTCTTCCAGACATCATCCCTCTCCAGGGTCACTGTGGGCACCCCCAGGTGCTGGGAGAGCTCTGGGGATGAGGCACTCAGACCAATTCCACTGTCCTCTGACTTGAGGGGCTGGAATGGAGCCTCCTCCTCCTCCTGCAGCACTGACTTTGTCTCCAAGGTTATGTCCACATCTTCCTTTGGCACTGGGCTCTGAAACAGGAATGTTCATGTGGTTAATGTGGCACTGGCAACAGAATCTTAAGCTGGGGAACAGCAATCTACTTCCTAAAATTTGCAATTTCCAGCTACTTTTACAAAACCACAGGATCACAGTTATTTCTAAGCAATTCCATTTAATTGCCTTTAAAACCCAGCAAGTGTTTGTATAAACCTCATGCCTGGACTCAGCAAACACCAGTGGATCTGTGGCTACAGGTACTTAGCAAAGGAATATTTCCTTAAAATCAATGTACCACCAGAACAATGTCACAAACACTGGATTATTTCCAGCCAAAGGCACGCATTTGTTCTGCTGGAAAACTCTGGCAGGCTGTGCTTGTGTGGCTGCTTGATGCCATTTATTCCTCATTCCTTATCATGGGCTCTTGCACACAAACAATACCCCATTGTGTTCAACTGAAATATTAATTGAAAGCCTTGCAGACCTAACCAGCTGTGAAGCTGGGCTTGATTTGGCAACTCAAATTTTGAGCTACTCCCTGTTGCTGAGTGCCTTTTCCAAAACCATTAAGCTCACATTCTTCTCAAGAGGCAGGATTACAGCCCCAGTTTCAGACAAGACTAAACTCCTTCAGTGCCACAAATAATTCTACCAAGCCAGAACTGAAGATCCAGTAAGAATAACAAGGCATCAGATTGCTCTGGAAGGAGCAAAAGAAGATAAGCTTCAAAAAAATCTTTATTGCTGCAGTTCCATATTTCATGGAATCACAGAAAGGTTTGGGTTGGGAGGGACCTTAAAGATGATTTTGTTCCCACCTCCTGCCATGGGCAGGGACAACTTCCACCAGCCCAGGTTGCTCCAAGCCCCGTCCAACCTGTCCTTGGACACTTCCAGGGATCCAGGGGTAGCCACAGCTTCTGGGAATTCTATCCCAGGGCCTCACCACCCTCTTCCTGATATCCCATCTAAACCTACTTTCAGTTTGAATCCATTCCCCCTTGTCCTGTCACTCCAGGCCCTTGGATATACTCTCTCTCCATCTTTCCTGTGGGCTCCCTTCAGGCACTGGAGCAACAGTCATTATCTAGGTCTTAAGTTCAGAGAATTTGCATTTTAAAGAAGTTATGTCAGAGTTTTAAACACCTGTGAGGAGTTCCAAAACACCTACCCCGTTTCCACTCCCTGTCTCGACGTCCAGGTAGGAAGGGGGCATTTGCACCTTGCTGAGCACCTTAAAACAGGTCTTTAAGGCATGAGTGAGTTCTGGCAAACCCAATAATTCCATGTTTTCCAGGAGAGACTGCACCATGTAACTGAGCATCTGGGGCAGATACTGAGTCTGCACTTCAGAGTAGAGTTCCTAAAACAAACAAGCAGTGTTTAAAATGGTTATCACACCCTTATCCTTCACTGATCACTGATGGATAAAGTCAGGGGGCCTCACCAAAGGGATCACATCGAGAAGGAACACCAATAGTGTGCAGAGCTCTGAAATTGTAGGAGGAGTGCTAATATTTTCCAGAGGGTATCTCATCTCTGAGGATTTGTTTCTGCAGTGAAAGAAAGACATGTTGTTATGGGAGTTTTTCACGTCGAAATTCCAGTCACAATCAAAAAAGCCTCGTTAAAACCAGCACAAAACACTGAACAGCTTTCTGGAGAAAAGGACTTTTAACACAGCAGGATAAAACACCCTGTCAAAACCACCTCAACTGCACGTGGGATGTTAAAGTGCTGCCAGTTTTCAGGTTAAATCTCTATACATAATCTTATTACTTAAAGCATAATCTTTCTTAGAGTTTAAAAGGGTTAAAAAGAGATAACACAGAATCACAGTATGGTTAGGCTTGGAAGGGACTCTAAAGATCATTTAGTATCTTTATTTCTCTTCAATAAAGGCCTCTCCACCTCCCCTCCCAACCCTTTTTCCTCCTTCAGCTGTCATTTTGAGAGTAATTTCTTCTGTTCTCAGGTTGATAATTTCCACCTAATTGTTCACCTGCTTGCATTATTGAATTATCTTAGGACACAGTTTATATATCTGGCTGGTTCTGGCATGTGTTACGTCCCCTGAATTTAAAAGCTTCATTATTATCTCAAACAGACATTTTTTTAAGAGGCCACTGTTGCTGGAAAACACAAACACCTGAAACAATCTTCAAAACATCTGGTCATGTAATCCCAGAGGAAATCCGTGCTTAAGGAGGTGATCAACAAGTTGACTGTTTTGACAATTTCTGAGGCGTTTTTGTTCTCTTTGATTGCACTGTTTGAGGGGAAAAACAAGGGAGAGAAAGAGCAGATGTCAGTGAGGATTCTGAGAGCACACACATCATAAAAAAACCCATGGATTATTTCAGATCAAACACTAAATCAGGCCGAAAGAGCTGGAGTTGGAGCATCTTTCTCCCAGATGATGCAAATCCAGCTTTGGAAGTCACCAGGCAGAGCTGTGTCACCACCCTGACTCTTGGCTGATGTCACTGTGGTTTCTCAACACCCATCACATGCAGTGAACTTCATTTTTTCCTCTGCTAATGCAAGAGAAATCCACTGTGTGTGGGGAAAAGGGGAAGCCAGAGGAAAAAAAAAAAATCTCGTTTTCTCTACAGAAAGTCACTTTGTTCCAACCCAAACCTTCCTTAAACTGCTCGATTTTAGTAACTTGGCTTAAAATAAATGATCCAGTTTCAGGCCAGGGTTGAAAAACTTGCCATTGTACCTCGCCAGGATGTTGCCACTTTGGTTGTAGCTGAGCTTGAGATCAGAACCAAGGGCATCTTTGCAGTAGGAATAAAAGGCTCTGATAACTTCCAGGAACAGATCCCCAACCACCTGTGGCCCTGCAAGAGAAGGGAAAAAGAACTCAGGAATTTCATGGCACTGGTTCTACATTACACTTTAGCCACTGGAATAAGGCACCCACAGGAACTTCTACATTAATTTGCAGTTCAAGTGCCAAAACCAGTCTCCATGGCTGTGTCCATAAGGAAAACAAGCAGGTTTCCCAGTACACATTTATCCCAGTAGCCTTGCTCCCATTTTGAGGGACAGAAGCTGGGAAAAATCAGCAAACTGAGGAAGTTCAAATGTCTAAATATCTAAAAATCTAATACTAAATCTAATATCAAATGCCCAAATATCTAAAAATCTAATACCAAATCTAATATTTAATATTAAATGCCTAAATATCTAAAAATCTAATACCAAATCTAATATTTAACATCAAATGCCCAAATATCTAAAAATCTAATACCAAATCTAATATTTAATATCAAATGCCTAAATATCTAAAAATCTAATACCAAATCTAATATCTAATATCAAATACCTAAATATCTAAAAATCTAATATCTAATACCAAATCTAATATCTAATATCAAATGCCAAAATATCTAAAAATCTAATACCAAATCTAATATCTAATATCAAATACCTAAATATCTAAAAATCTAATACCAAATCTAATATCTAATATCAAATGCCTAAATATCTAAAAATCTAATACTAAAAAATCTAATACCAAATCTAATATCTAATATCAAATACCTAAATATCTAAAAATCTAATATCTAATACCAAATCTAATATCTAATATCAAATGCCAAAATATCTAAAAATCTAATACCAAATCTAATATCTAATATCAAATACCTAAATATCTAAAAATCTAATACCAAATCTAATATCTAATATCAAATGCCTAAATATCTAAAAATCTAATACTAAATCTAATATCTAATATCAAATGCCTAAATATCTAAAAATCTAATATCTAATACCAAATCGAATATCTAATATCAAATGCCTAAATATCTAAAAAATCTAATATCTAATACCAAATCTAATATCTAATATCAAATACCCAAATATCTAAAAATCTAATACCAAATCTAATATTTAATATTAAATGCCTAAATATCTAAAAATCTAATACCAAATCTAATATCTAATATCAAATGCCTAAATATCTAAAAATCTAATACCAAATCTAATATCTAATATCAAATACCTAAATATCTAAAAATCTAATACCAAATCTAATATTTAATATTAAATGCCAAAATATCTAAAAATCTAATACCAAATCTAATATTTAACATCAAATGCCTAAATATCTAAAAATAAATAGTAAAAATGCCTAAATATCTAAACCAAAGGAGTTCAAGAAGAAAGTATAAGTTAAGTGGCAATTGCACCTGATTTTCAAGGGTCAATCCTACTTTATAATAATTACAATACCCCAAACTTGGAATAATTAAAAAAAAAGTAGTGTATAAAACATTGCAACAAGTGCTTCTAAAAAGGAAAAAAAAAAAGTTAAAGTGACTAAGAGTAGCAGAAAAGGCCAAAAATTCTTGTTATGTGTTAGTTTGATACTTTTAAATAAGAGTTGCATTGTTAAATCCATTTCCTAAGGAAGTTAAAGTTTTATTGGCTTAAGGCTCTGGAAGTTATATTTTGTGTGCTGGCTGGAACAGAGAGATTAAACTGGATAATGCAGTTTAGCTAAATATCCCTTATTTAAGAGGGATTTATAATCCCTTATTTGCAGTTCAGATTAACCCTGGTTGTCACTCAGCCAAGTAACACGTGCAATAAGGGAGTGCCTGTTATCTACTTTCTAAATTAACCAATTTATAATTATTATTAATTTAAAATGTAAACAGCCTCAGTCTCTTTGGCATTTTTGCCAGTGAAATATAAGAAATTTTAATGGTAATAGATTTTTTTTTCCTAAAAAAACAGCAAAAACCCACCTAAAAGCAGCAGAAGGGAACATTGGCACCACTTGCCTCATAAACAAACAACTCCTTCTCCTAAGGTAACATTTATTTCTTAGGTAAGAAATACAGAATCCTCATTTTTGCTGGCAGTGCTTTGATTATTTTTCACCAGGAAATGTGCTTAGAAGGATTTTCCTGACTCAGGAAAGAGGGATAAGCTTCCCAGACCCCAGGAGCCTGCGAAATGAGCTGCCACTCAAGTATTTATTCTCAGTACATGAGTTTTATTCTGAGTGTCCAGGCTGACTCAGTGGGAACATCACTCCCCTCCCAGAATGCTTTTAAATCCCAAATATCTGTCAAGTCATTTTGAATTAAGTTTTCATTAGAAAGGGGAACTTGCCCTTTAAAATAGGGATGGGCAGAGTGTCACCCTTGTGGTGCTGGCAGCTCCAGGGACACAGCAGGACAGTTATGGGACAGGGAAGAGGAGTTCAGCAAATGAACTCTAAGCAACAAATTGAGCAGAGTATTGAGACAAAGGCAGAAAGGGGTTCTTTTTAACTGCTCCCCTCAGATGGCAGAGCAGGGCACAGAAACACAGAATCAACCAAGGCTGGAAATCCCTTCAGGATCATCCAGTGCCACCCTCACCCAGCACCACCAGGATCACCCCCAATCCATGGCCCCAAGGGCCACATCCAGACACCTCTGGGACACTCCCAGACACAGGGACTCCACCACCTCCCTGGGACACTTATTCCAAGGCCTGACCACTCCTGAAGGGAAAAATTGCTTTTGATCTCTGATCTGAACCTGCCCTGGGGCAGTTTGAGGCCATTTGTTCTTGTCCTTTCACTTGGGATGTGGCAGCAGAGCCTGACCCAACCCCGGCTCCCCCCTCCTGTCAGGGGGTTGCAGAGCCAGAAGGTCCCCCCTGAGCCTCCTTTTCTCCAGGCTGAGCCCCCCCAGCTCCCTCAGCTGCTCCTGCTGCTCCAGCCCCTTCCCAAGCCCATGGATCCCCCCTGTGCCCCATCCCCACCTTGTCCCCCAGCCCAGAGCACTGAGTGCCACGGCCAGGCCTTCCTGGGACACCTCCAGGGATGGGCACTCCAAACCTCCCTGGGCAGCCCCTGACAAGGCCTGACCACCCTTTCCAGCAGGAAATTCCTCCTCCTGTCCCACCTGAGCCTCCCCTGGCACAGCTGGAGGCCGTTCCCTCTCCTCCTGCCCCTTGTTCCCTGGCAGCAGAGCCCGACCCCCCCCGGCTCCCCCCTCCTGTCAGGGGGTTGCAGAGCCAGAAGGTCCCCCCTGAGCCTCCTTTTCTCCAGGCTGAGCCCCCCCAGCTCCCTCAGCCCCTCCTGCTGCTCCAGCCCCTTCCCAGCTCCGTTCCCTTCCCTGCACACGCTCCAGCCCCTCCAGGTCTCTCTTCCATGAGGTTCCAGACCTGGACACAGCCCTGGAGGTCCCTCAGCAGTGCCAGCACAGGGGACAATCCCTGCCCTGGGCTGTGCCCACACTATCCCTGATCCAAACCAGGTTCCATTGGCCTCTTGCCCCCCTGGGCTCATGTCCAGCCCCCAAGCAGTGACCAGCAGAGAGAGGAGCAGTGAGAAGCTCGTTACCTATCTCAGGTTTGTCCAGGAGGCTGATGAGGATGCGGAAGGGTTTCAGGTAAGCCTGGTGCTGCTCCTCTGTATTATCAGACTCGGGGAATTTCTGATGCAAAATCACAATCAAACTCTAGTGAGAAGGAAAACATCAGAATGTTACAGATCAAAGAGAGACTGTAGTTTTATTAAGGGCTGAAGTGTTTCTAAATTTGATTTTTGTTTAGGACCGGCTACAAATGGAGCTTCGGTTTTCCATCCGGGGCAGACAAATCAATGGTATCTCATCATCTGTTCTCAAGGGCTGGCATTATTCAGAGAAGCATTTTTCAATAATTCAGGTAGTTCAGCAAAGATGCTTCCCTTTGGTTTCCTTAGATTCCATTTGTATTGTGAGCACATAAATATTGGGATAAATACAGCCCAGCGGGCACTGAGAGAGGTGAAAATATAATCACCAAAGGATGTTATCTTTGGGGACAAAAAGTGAAGGACAAACCAAATGGCACATTTGGGAATAATTCTGGACAGTTTGTGTCAGTATTTTAAAGGGTCATGAATTTATCTGTGTACCAACCTCAACCAAAAGATCTTTAGAATATTTCCCAAAGAAATAAACAGCCTGGTCTTCAGAAGTTGTGGAGTCTGGAGCAAAAGTACCACCTTTAATATCAGAGCCTGCAAGAGAAACAGAGGCAGCAGGAGTAGAGAGGCAGCACAGAACACTGAAATCACACTGCACTTTTAACCTTTTCATTTCAACACTTGGCTTGAAACTAATTGTCCAAAGACATGTCCCAGTTTGAGGCATCCAGATACAGCCAGTGCAGCCCATAAATCAAAAGCAAGGCCAGATCCAGTGATGGAATCAGCAAGGGCAGCCTTCATGCAGCTCTTGCCCTGTCCCTTTTAGCCTCAGTTAAAGGAGGCAGATGTGGAGAAGTTGTAGCTCTCTTATCCTGGATAATTAAGCCTGTGTGGGAATTACCAGACTATTACCAGAAGAACAAAATTAAAAGATTGCTCCTTTCAGTCCACTGAGCCACTTCCCAGCAAGCTGTGGATGGGGCCAGGAATAAATCAGATACCTCGGGATTCGGGACAGTGAAGAGAAGAGCTTTTTGCCAAATGAATGCTGAATTTTATTTAACCCCTAATAAATGGAAAATAAACAACACCTTATTTTACCCTTGTTAGTTAACTACTGAAAAAGTTAATGAGTGCTTAAAAAGTTGCCTTTTTAAGCATTGATTGTTCTGCTCTCAGGCATTCAGAATACTGATTTATCCCTGGATTTTGGACAGTACCTAACAACCATGCATACAGTCTTCTGTTGAGGGACATGTCTCTCCTCAGCAGTGTCTGGGTTGCTGCTGACAGGATGTAGATGAGATCAGCCCTGGGCAGCAGAATCGTGCTCTCATTGCAGTCCTGGGGCGGAAAACAAAGATATTTCAGCTCTTTGTGAACACTCAAACAAGTCAAATTGTTGTTTTTTTTAACTGGGGATATTAATGTTTTGAAAAAAAAGGCAACAAACATCAACAACAAAATACTTTGTATGGTAAAAATCTCAAGAAAGGGAATGTGACACGACTGTGATCACGGAATCATGGAATGGTTTGGGTTGGAAGGGACCTGAGAGACCTTCTAATTCCAATCCCCATGGGCAGGGACACCTCCCACCAGCCCAGGTTGCTCCAAGCCCCATCCAAGGTGGCCTTGGACACTTCCAGGGATCCAAGGGCAGCCACAGTTTCTCTGGGAATTCTATCCCAGCCCCTCCCCACCCTCCCAGGGAAGAATTCCTTCCCAATATCCCATCTAATCCTACTCTCTGTCACTTTGAAGCCATTTCCCCTTGTCCTGTCACTCCATCCCTTGGAAAAAATGTCTCTCCATCTTTCTTGGAGCTCCTTCAGGTCCTGGAAGGCCACAGTTAGGGCACCCCAAAACATTCTCTTCTCCTTAAGACTTAAAAACATTTGCTGTATTCAAAATACTGCCTGTCCTACCAGGTAAGTTGGGAAACAATGAGAACAACTCCTGTTTCAAGTTAAATTTTTTCCCTTAGTCTCTACCAGAAGTACCTTAGTTTAGTGTAAACAATCCCAAATGCTGAAATTCTACTTGAAAAAGCTCAGTATTTATTCCACATGAGTTCCTCAGGCCTAAATACTTCAAGCACATCCCAAACATCACAGAATAACCCCCGTGAAATCACATCTTCAGGCACATCCTTTGAAGAGCCTGAGAAGCAGCAGAGTATCCCCCACTACTAAAATTGATGGGGCACAAGAAACCACAAAATTCATTGATTTTGAAGGTACAAAATTCAGCCTTTTGGCAACAACAGAGGTGGGAGCTGGGCTGGTTTCACAGGACACACCTCCCATGTGACAATCCCAAAATAGTCCTCTTACCAAAGCTGTGTAAAATGGGAAGAAGAAGAGAATTGCTTCCAGAGTGTTCCTTTGCACAAGGACATTGGAATCCAATACTGACACACACAGAGACTTGATCTGCAAAAGGAAAACCACAACAGTCTTTTACTCCTTAATAACATTTAAGGTACAATCAAATAATCAAGAAGGAAAGGAAGCAAACTTGGTTACCTGTGAACAATATTTATTTCAAATAAGAGGATAATTTAATAAACTGAGCCATTTAACTCCTGCACCCAAAAGGAGTTCAATTTTTGTGGATACTATTAGAAGAATGGTTAATATTTAGGAAACACTTGATTTTGTAACAATACAGAAAATCCCAGAGTTACACCACCAGCTGCCAGACAGGATGTGAAGCCTCACAAAATGCAGATATACAGGCACTCTAATTAGCCTTACAATTATCCCATCCCTCAAGTTAACATGAACTACCACCTCCTGAAGATTCTCATTTCACTGGAAAAATAAAAAGACACTAAATTGCAGAATTATCCTGCAGAACTGACTTTGGGAGCTCCACATTAAAAAGTGTATCACAGAAAAGCTGGTCTTCAGCATTAAATTTCATTTAAGTAATTGTATTAAGCAACTTCAAAGCAAGGACCTTTCAGCCTCTTTCTCTGGCTCCAAAATATTTTTAAAGAGCCTGTTGTTGTTCTGACTCAATGCAGGGAAGGCAAGATAATGTGGTAGATAATGAACTTACTGTGAGCTTGTGATCTGTGCCAAGCATGTACTTCTGCTGCTTCCCAGACTGCTCCCTGTTGATGTGACTGACCACAAAGAGGGAAGCAGGAAGTCTGATGGATGGACTGACCAGGACACTGCCCCAGAGAGCTCCATAAAACACCTCCTGGCCTATCAGCAGGGAGAGCTTCACCAGCAGAGCATCTGTCCTGTAGGGAAATATATTGGATTTGAGAAAAGATATCTTTGTTGGTTCAGTTTTGCCCCATGCAAAGGCAATTATCCACAGAAATAGTGCTGGAGCTGATGTAATTTGATGTAATTTAATATCTTTGTTGATGATTTAGATGAAGGGATTGAGTCCATCATCAGCAAATTTGCAGATGACACCAAGCTGGGGGGGAGTGTTGGTCAGCTGGAAGGCAGGAGGGCTCTGCAGAGGGACCTGGACAGGCTGGATCCATGGGCTGATTCCAAGGGGATGAGGTTCAACCAGGCCAAGGGCCGGGTCCTGCCCTTTGGCCACAACAACCCCCGGCAGCTCCAGGCTGGGCCAGAGGGGCTGGAGAGCAGCCAGGCAGGAAGGGAGCTGGGAGTGGGGATGGACAGGGAGCTGAACAGGAGCCAGAGGGTGCCCAGGGGGACAAGAGGGCCAATGGATCCTGGCCTGGCTCAGGAACAGGGTGGCCAACAGGTCCAGGGAAGTGATTCTGCCCCTGGACTCAGCGCTGGTGAGGCCACCCCTGGAGTGCTGTGTCCAGTTCTGGGCCCTCAGCTCAGGAAGGACATGGAGGGGCTGGAGCAGGGCCAGAGGAGAGCAACGAGGCTGGGGAAGGGACTGGAGCACAAGTGCTGTGAGGAGAGGCTGAGGGAGCTGGGGGGGCTCAGCCTGGAGAAGAGGAGGCTCAGGGGAGACCTCCTCACTCTCTGCAACTCCCTGACAGGAGGGGGGAGCCAGGGGGGGTTGGTCTCTTTTCCCAGGCAACCATCAGCAAGACAAGAGGGCTGGGTCTGCAGCTGTGCCAGGGGAGGGTTAGGTTGGAGATTAGGAAGAATTTCTTTGCAGAGAGGGTGCTCAGCCATTGGAATGGGCTGCCCAGGGAAGGGGTGGATTCTCCATCCCTGGAGGTGTTTAAGGACAGACTGGATGTGGCATCAGTGCCATGGGCTGGGAACCACGGCGGGGTTGGATCCAGGGTTGGACTTGATGATCTCGGAGGTCCCTTCCAACCCAGCTGATTCTGTGATTCCATGATTCCATGATTTGATTCTCTTATCTTTGTGTTACCAGCATTGCCCTTTCCTGATCACAGAGACACAGAATGGTTTGGGGTGGAAGGGACTTGAAAAATCACCCAGTTCCATCCCCTTCCATGGGCAGGGACACCTTCCACTAGCCCAGGTGATTTTGTACAATCAGACAGGAACAACCAAACCCACTCGATCCTTTGTCCCTGTGCACAGCCACTGGAATTGGGTTTCTATCCAAACTTCTCCAAGAAATACCTGCAAACATTAAGCCCTGACCAAAGTGCTGCAAAACATTGATGGTGAGAATTGGGAAAAGCTGAATTGGAAGCAATTTCAGCTGATGTCAGACCCCGAAAGGCAATTTTAGCAGTTTGGGAACTGGAAGTTATCCTAAAAATTTGTACTTTGCAAATCAACAGGCTCGATTTTGAAGGCACTGGACAAATAAAAATTAGAGATGTGAACTCCCCATTCCTGCAGCTGTTCAGGAACAAGCTGGATGGGGCTCTGAGCAACCTGGTCTGGTGGAAGGTGTCCCTGCTCATGGAATTTTAATCCTTAATATTGAAGATCCTGAAAATGTTCAGCCTCAATACTGAAGAAGAATTTAAAAATCCATCCAAGGCATCATCTTCTGACAAGATATCTTGGTCTTGAAGAACTATTACAATGAGTAAACTAAAGAAAAGCTTCCCCTTGTAAGTTTTTGCACTTCACAAAATAACATTTAATGGATTTTAACGTAAATTTTTCACAGTTTATCGTCAGTTCCTGTCTTTGATCCTGTCTGTTCAAGGCAAAGAGGAAAATGATGCCCCCAAGAATAGGGAAGAAAGGTATAAAACCAGGAGTTGGAAGTTCACCTGCAGTTCCCATTAAACTCACTGCTTCAAATTTAGTCAAATGATACAGAAATACTGGAAGGAATTCAGCTGCTCTCTTGTGTTATGACATTTAAATTGAATTTATCGGCAGAGCAGTGGTTTGGGGAGTCAGGTTAATTATTCAGGAGTTCAGAGGAGCTTTGAGAAACAGTTTTTATTCCTTTCCCTCAGCATATTTATTTTTAACCCTCCTTTTTCTCTTCTCTTCTCCTCCTGAGATGAAAATAGAAGGGGAAAGGGTTTTTCTGCTTCAACATCTTTTTGGGACCCACCATTTTCCCACTTTTAGAAGCTGTTTTATCCACTTTTCTGCATAGAAATCTGAGAGAGATTTTTTAAGAATTCCCTAAAAACACAAAATACTGCCTCTGTTGCTTTTAAATTAACACTTAATAATCGATATTACCTGTCATAAATTTCTGATCCTTCTTCCAACCCAGGCAGGAGCCCAATGACAAAGGCTTGAAGACCAGGCAGGAGGGACTTTTGGAGAGGAAGAAAATATTTCTCATACAAGCCCAGGAGAACAGGCCTCACTGACATTGCTGCATTTGCCAGCAGAGGAAACAACCCAGAGCTTTAAAAAAAACAAAACAACAAACACCCAAAAAAAAGACAAAAATTAGTCAATTAAAATAGACTGTGAAATACTTATGCCTTAGGACAAAAAAAAAAAATAAAATTACCTGTACAGGAATAAATCCTTGGCAAGCCATTTGGTCCCAATGATCTTAAAGATGATTTCATAGGTTTCCAATGCCTTTAAATGCACTCCACTGGGAAGGGCTGGATGCAAACACTGGGATAATCTTTTACTGATGATCAGCCTTCTTGGCAGGAGAGAATATTTGAGGTTACTCTGAAGAGCCTGTGGGAGAAAAGAGGTGAGAATAAATGGTTGTAATGTAAAAATATAACATGTGGGATGACTGCAGGTCAAAGTTTTCCTATTAGCATGGGGAAAAGCTAAATCCATTCAAGAGTTTTCTCTCATAAATTAATTTTGTTGCACTGAAACAGCAGAATTTGAGTTTTCATGTGGAATCAGCCATGAACAATCAGTAAGTTTAATAACCACTTTCACCGTCCTGATGTGCAAGTAAAAGATCCTCAGGGCAGGGAATGGTTCACAAAGTGCTGCAGACAGGCCAGGTTTCCAGGATAAAAACAAAATCTCCTTTCTTTGGAAAGGTTACTCCTTTCCTAGAGCCACCAGGGCATGTCAGCAGGGTAAAGAAGTTGTCCCTTTAATCCAGAGACAACCAAAGAGAGAAGCTGAAGGTCAGTGGCACTGTCTGCAAACACAAAGAGATGTTCCACTGCAGGTGGAAGTTTGGGATGTTTTCAGGCAAATCCTTGGCTCTCCCCAAGGTTAAATCATGGTCTTATCCTCCCTGATTGTTTTCAGCTTGAGAAAATGTTTTGGAAAACCAGCAGAGAAGGGAACTAACCCTGGAAAAAACCCCAAACCAGGTCAGTGACGATCCCAAAGTCACTTGAATGCTGAACACTCGGCAGCAGGAAGAGGAGGAGATAAAACCCATCACCTTCCAGCAAAACCAGCTGTTAAAAAAGAGCTTCTGGTAATAAAATTGACTCAACAACAGTAAATAGAAATGTCTCCCCATCCTGGTTCACACACAGATGCCACTGGGAGCCAATTAATTTCCTTCTCTCCCTCCCCCTGGATGAGCAGATTTTAATGGGTAATAAAAATTAGAATCCAAGAATCCAGCAGTGCTTGCCACATGTAACTAAACCAGGTTTTATCTGTGGAGTCACCTCGTTTATATCTTTGATATTTGAGAGATTTGCCCATTTGTTACATGAGTAATATTATTTCAACATTCAGTATTGATATCTTGAATACTTGTAATGACTTTGAAGATTGCTGGGAAGCTGGACTTTGAAACATTCTATTTATATACTTGGCACTTATTTGCCCACACCCTCTGTATATAGAAAAGAAGTTAATTACATAAAAAGGATGCCAGTGGTAAATATTTTTCCTCTCAGGCTTCAGATTGAACAAATATTATCTTAATATTCCAACAGTTCAAATTTAAATATCAATGAGGCAGAAAATGAGAACATTGCCTGTTTATCACACAGACAATGTGATCCATCACAGAAATAATGTCTAGAGATGTCTGGTCTGGCTCCAACATTTCCTAAGGACATGAAGTCAATCTCCATCATCAAATAAGAACTCCACCAAACATCAGGGACAAGGGAGGAAAACATTTGGAATTATGGAATGGTTTGGATTGGAAGGGACATTAAAGCCCATCCAGTGCCACCCCCTGCCGTGGGCAGGGACACCTTCCACTATTCCAAGTTGCTCCAAGCCCTGTCCAAGCCCTTGGACACTTCCAGGGATCCAGGGGCAGCCACAGCTTCTCTGGGAATTCTATCCCAGCCCCTCCCCACCCTCCCAGGGAAGAATTCCTTCCCAATATCCCATCTAACCCTACTTTCTGTCACTTTGAAGCCATTCCCCCTTGTCCTATCACTCCATCCCTTGGAAATAGTCTCTCTCCATCTTTCTTGGAGCTCCTTCAGGTCCACAGTCAGGTCACCCCAAAACTTCTCCAGGCTGAACAATCCCAACTCTCTCCAGGCATATTAGAAACTAGTGGATATTCAGGGATAAATCAGTTTAAACTACTTCTCCTGGGTAACTCAGAAACCTTCCCATGTCCAAATTCCAGCAGGTGAGACTTAACTCAGGACAACACCACATTTATGTTCCTTCCCCTCAGCAATCAGAAGACAAATTTCTGATTTATATACATTCATATATTTGTATATTATATATATTTTTATATGTTTATATTTCTATAATGTATATTTATATTGTATTTTATATATTTTATATATTCATTCATTTATATATTATATAGTCATTCATTATATATTCATTTATAAATGAGGAATGAAGATTTGAAGACATTTATTATGATACTCCAATCATAAATCACATCCTAAAATCCTAATAAAAGTGTTGAGATTTTCAGCTTCTGAGTTGAACTTTCCATCTCAAAAAACACAGAATCTTATTTTTTGTGGCTTGGGTGGAAGAAAAACACAACTGGACACGAGCCACACTTGCCAAGAGTTAACACTTGTCTGATCTTCCAGCAGAAAAAGGGATTTTAAACCACTTTCCAATCTCTTGGAAGACTCTGGTTGCCCCAAAAACCCTCCCAGGCCTGGCTGCTGCTTGGCTGGAAGGTTCAGCCCCTCAAAAGCTTCCCCAGAACTGCAGGGACCAAAGGATTTGAAAAGGGTGGAAAGGTATTAATTAGCAGAGGGATCTAAAAGGGTTCACTGAAATAAGAGTGACACGATAACACACATAATTCCAAATGCTTCATCAGCTGACAGGCAAAGTCAAGGAGCTTGATTTTTAAATATCCTTGAGCTTTCAAAAGTGAAAATAAAAAAAAAAAAGAATCAGTTGATCTGGTGTGGGTGTGGGAACAAGCCTGGTTTCATTGGCACTGTGGGCAGGTGAAGATCCCATCCCAAACCAGGGCTCCCAGGTTCAGGATCCAACACTAAAATGACACATAAGGATGCTCAGAGTTGCTTCAATATTGAGATTTACAGGTCCATTTTTGGACCTTTTGCCATTCTTTGCACCTGTGCCTTAAACCAAACCCAGACACACACACCCAGAGGAATATTTGCATTTCCACAGTTACTGGTTTAACCCCTGCCCTGCTTTATAGCACCACTAGAAATCAGAGAGATCGATTAAAAATTGATAAAAACCCCATCAAATCAAGTCAATATTTTTATTTAAGCAACTAGAACTCCAGGGCATCCATTTATAAGATCTTTCCTCAACTAGGAGGCAATTCTTTGGTATCTTTAGTAATGTTTTAGACAGCAGTGGCTGGGAGGGCAGGGGAAGGAGGGAGAGCCCGTGATTCCATTTCCCACTGATTCGTTTTCCAAGCCAAAGGAATTCCAAACAGAGCTCCAGCTTCCAGAAAAAACACCAGCAGGGAGCTGGGAGAAAAGAGTAAATTAGGAGGTGGAGTTGTATTAAAAAGGGGGGAAAAATGTGTATAAAATATGCCTAGTCCTGCATGTTGCATTTGTCCACGGGTGTGGTGAAGTTCCATAAAGCAATGAGGAGGCAATATATAAATATATATTAAAAAAATATATATTTATACACATATATATATAAATATATAAAATATAAATAAAATAAATATAAAAATAAATATAAAATATAAATAAATATATAAAATATAATAAAAATATATTATAGAAATATAAACATATAAAATATATAAAATATAATATATATATTCTACAAATATAAATATATATTCTATATAGATATACAGAATATATAACTATATATTATATACAAATATATGAATATATATAAATATAATAAATTATATATAATTAATATAAATATAAACATATATATTTTTATATATTGTCATAAATACAAAAATATAATTAATAAATATATATTTAATAAATATATAAATATATGCATATAAATATATAAAATATATTATTAATACATATTACATAAATATAAATATATATTATATATAGATATATCAAATATATAAATATATATAATATACAACTATATGAATATATATAAATATAGTAAATTATATATAATTAACATAAATATAAACATATATATTTTATATGTATTGTCATAAATATAAATATATATTTAATAAATATATAAATATATATTTAATAAATATATAAATATATATTTAATAAATATATATTTAAAAATATATATAAATATATACACAAAATATATAAAATATAATATAGATATGTATTATATGGATATAAGTATATAATATACAAACATGAATATATGAATATGTGTAAATAAAATAATTATATATAATTAATATAAATATAAACATATATTTTATATATTGTAATAAATATAAATATATGTTTAATAAATATATATATAAATATGTACATATGAATATATATAAAATATAATATAGCTATATATGATATGAATATAAATATGTAATATACAAACATATGAATATTATATAAATATATAAATATTATATATTATATATTAATATAAATATAAATAAACATATAAATAGATTATAAATATATAAATATTATATAATGATACATAAATATATATAAATATAATAATATATATAATATAAATATAATAATTATATATAAATAATATATAAATATAAATAATATATAGATATAAATATAATATATATAAATATAATAATTATATAGAATTAATATAAATATAAACATATATTTTTATGTATTGTAATAAATATAACTATAAATATATATTTAATAAATATATATAAAATATATATTTATTAAATATATACAAATATATACATATAAATAAGTATATAAATAAGTATATAAATAAATAAATAAATAAATATAAATATTGTCCTGAGCAGAAGGCAAGTGGTGTTTGTGCCTGTAGTTCAGGCAGCAGTGGGTGGAAAGCCCTGGCAGTCTGAGCTCTCCCTGTGAAGCAACTGCTTTAATTAATGGCCACCCTCATTAAATCTGCTCCTGAAGAATCCTGCTTTTCTCTCCCCTCAAGAACAGCCAGACTGTGCCATGGAGTGTTACTGGGAAAAACAAACAGCAATTGTGCAGCTGCAAGGATTTTGGGGCCTTGCTTTCCCCTTCTGAGGCAAGAAAATCCCCCCCCCCCCCAGAAACAAAAAATAACAGACTCATTTTCTACTCAAAGTTACCTTTTTATAACAAAAAATTACTCTGAAATTGCAGAGTAAAGATTAAAACTTGGTGTTGTTGTCACAATCTAGGCATGGGCACCCTTGGGTTATGTCCAAGGATAAAAAGCAGTTTGAAAGTGCTCTTTTAGAGCAAATATTATTTATTTAGAGGCTAAATCTTTAGGGCAATAAACATCATGGAATCTTGGAATGGGTTGGGCAGGGAGGGACATTAAAGGCCATCCCATTCCACCCCCTGGCCTTGGACAATTCCAGGGATTCAGGGGCAGCCACAGCTTCTCTGGGCAACCTGGGCCAGCACAAATTCCAGAGACTTTTTTAAAAAAAACATCCTTTTCTTACAAAAGCAGGCTGTGGAATCCACTATTTTCTGCTCCTCAGCTCTTCATTTTACAAATCGTGCCACTGATCTACTATTTGCCTGCAGCCAGAGTTAAAATGTCTGGAAAATAAATGTCAATAATCTGGATTAAAAAGCCCAGTGCAAACAAAGCACTTGGATTTTCCCAACTTCATCACATCTCCGACCTCTCCACTGCCTGAAGTTCCCCCTCCCTGACACTTTTATATGTGTTTTATATAATGTACATCCTCTGTTTATACTCTGAGAAGCATTTTGGGGAAGAAAACGATGTTAAAAGCACCTGATTCATTGATAATCAATGAATTATTCATTATCAGTAATTATTCATTATTCATCCACCTATGATGAACCACCACCTATTTCTAGGTTTAAAAAGACACCATCCCTCCAGTTTATCAAGGTATGGAAGTTATTTCTCACTGAAAATGAAGCTGAAACCCTCCTTAAAACACTAACATCCATATTTCCTGCCTGTTTGATCCACCCAGTTGCACCTGCCTATTTATTTATAAATAACAAATAAATATCATTTATAAATAATAAATAGTATTTATAAATAATAAATAAATATTATTGATAAATATTTTTAAACAATAAATACATACATGTTCTTATTTATAAATATTATTTATATTCTTATTTATAAACATTACTTATATTCTTATTTACAAACATTATTTTATATTCTTATTTACAAACACTACTTTCCACTGTTTCTCCTTCCCCATAATGATGCATCACAACCTCAACTATTGAAATTAAAACCCCCCAAAACCTTTCCCTTACAAACTTGGGGTGTAGAATAAATTCCTGCCAATCCTTCCCTCGTGTTCACACCTGGGACCTGCAGCTCTTTTTTTACCACTGCAGGGAATTTTCATCTTCCCTGACCTTAAAAAGCCCAGGTCAGCTCAAAAAACGTGGGTCAAACTGCAGTAACTCACCTCAGGCTCCCTGTAAAACCTGGGAGGGACACACAGAATTTTAGGACAAGGTTCATCTGACCTACTTTAAACAGCAAGAGATGAGTCACAAACCAAAAAATAAAAATAAAAATAAAAAAATAAACCCCCTTATTCCTCTCCCTGGCTAAAAAGAATTCAAGGTGAAGCTGTCAGCACTGAAGTCCTGTCGAGTTAAACAAAGGTTCACCTCTCTCAAATGACAAAATAAAATCTTTCCAGATCTACAAACTGCCCCATTTAGTTGAACATTCAGATTAAAGTCACTTGGCTCCTCTGGTTTTTTTTCCCTGGTTCTGGAAGCCACTGTGAGACATCATTTAGAGCTGGAGAAGCAACAGAGAAAGGGTGAAAAACAACTTTTAGTTTATGCTGAGCAGAACCAGAGAATCATCGTGGTTGGAAAAGACCTTTGGGGTCATCGAGTCCAACTGTCAGGGAGTAAGAGGGAGAAGGAGCAGAGTTGGATCTTTTCAGCAGCAGCAAAAGCTCCAAGGCCACTTGGAGGGATCCAGAGTGGATCCAGAGCAGCTCCCTCTGCTCTTTTTACCTCATCTTTAAGGAGCAAGAGCCTGTGTTGCTTCCTCCAGACCTTGGATTACCTGAAGGATAATTCCACGGAGCTTCTGATATGTAGAAATAACAGAGAGGTGCTGTGTGTGTCTCAATAGTGACCACAGGAGGAAAAAACCTCACAAAATATTGCACCCACGTGGGCAAGAACATCTTCCACACCGCTCTGGAAGGATGGGAAGAACTTCTGGAACTCATCTTACTCCTTCTCTTTTGTCCTTCCCTCTCTCAGCATCTTCACACGTGCTTAATGCCAATTATCCCTGCACATCCTGACACCCAGGATCCTTAATATAACACAATAATTACATTTTTACCATTTTTACTGCTGATCTCCTCTCTCCTGCCCATCCTCTCTCCCTGCTCGTTCACCTTCGCTGCAGGAAAAAATTAGGCTTTTATGTTAAAAACACCTCCCCCAGCACTGACAAAACCCACCAATATTTATGTTTTAGGATGTAAGAGACCAAGTAATCACAAGAGTTAAGGGAACAGTTACTGACATCTTATTTCAGCCTTCTGGCAACTCATTCCCCTGCCACATCATCCTCATTTTCAGATAACACACAGACACAGATGAACACTGGGGATGATTTGCTCTACCAATTCTTAAGCTCCTAAAAAGATTAAGTCCATAAAATACCACAACAGATGGACTGATGGATCAGTTAAAAGCTTTTTCCCCTTGGTTCCTACTGTGCTGCTACATGTATTTGGCAATTCTTGCACCTGAATAAGAGTTTGAGACAGGTGTTAAGCAGTTCAGTGTGCTCATCTAGGCCAAGAGCAGAGATCAAAGCCTACCCCTCACTCTCATTATTTCATATTTTCCCTTTTGAGAAAAGCATTTTGAAGGCTTCTGGCTCTTGACTCAAGAGGAATCACGATGAAATAGTGAAGGTAGAAATGTGCAACTCCTGCTCCAGAGCAACTCCTGTGTAACTCCTGCTTCAGCTTCTCACCTCTCTGAAGAGGGAAAAACATGGCTGCCCTTAAAAAAAACCCCTCCATTTGGCAAATGTTACCCCAGTTTTGGATTTTAGCCAAGTTTTTGATGCTCTCACAGTGTCCTGGATAACCTGTCCAGCACAGAGGTGGACAAATCCATCCCACTTTGGCTGAACAAATGGCTCAAAGGGTTGCAGTCAATGGGGTGACATCAAGTTGGTGACTGGTCACCAGTGGGGCTCCCCAGGGCTCAGGGGTTTAGGGCCAGTGTGTTTTAATATTTTTATAAATGATCTGGATGAAGGAATTGGTGATAATATTAAATTCCTGATGATACTAAACTAGCAGCAGCCACTGACTCCCTGGAGGGTAGAGAGGTCTGCAGAGAGATCTGGACAGATCAGAGCTGAGCAATCACCAACTGTGTGTGATTTCATAAGAGCACATGTTGGATTATCCACCTGGGATGGGCTAAACACACAAATTGGGGGATGACAGGCTGGAGAGCAGCACCAGGGAAGAGGATCTGGGGGTTTGGGTTGATGGCAAGTTGAATTTGAGCCAGCAGTGCCCTGGCAGCCAGGAGGGACAACCACGTCCTGGTCAAGGGAGAGGATTGTCCTGCTCTGCTCTGGTGTGGCCTCTCCTCGAGGCCCGGGGGCACTTTTGGGACATCAAATTATTTGTGTGCTGAGGGGAGGGTGACCAAGATGGTGAAAAGTCTCAGGGACAAGATTAAAAGGGGCTGAGGGCACTTGGCTGGTGCAGCCGGAGCAGAGGAGCCCCAGGGCAGAGCTCAGAGGGGGCTGCAGCTCCTCCCGAGGGGCAGCTCCGACCTCTGGGAGCAGGGACAGGACCCAGGGAAGGGCTGGAGCTGGGACAGGGCAGGCTCAGGGGGGATCTCAGGACAAGGTTCTTCCCCCAGAGGGTGGTTGGGCACTGCCCAGGCTCCCCAGGGCAGTGGGCACGGCCCCAAGGCTGCCAGAGTTCCAGGAGGGTTTGGATGACACTGAGTGATGTGGTTGAGTTTCATGTTGTCCTGCAGGGAGCTTGGACCTGATGCTTCTTATGGTCCCTTCCAACCTGAGCTATTTCATGGCTCCATGGATTCTATGGATTCTCCTTCCCCTTGAAAACCCTGCAGAATTAAGGGTTAGCAAAGACAGCAAAGGCTGTGAGGCTCCATCAGGGAACAACAGATGTTTCCTCCTGAGTTCTGCAGGAGTTGCCTCCTCCCACCCCTATTTCCTCAAGGACTGTAACTACTCACCCCACATACACTGAGGAGGAGTTTTACATTAAGAGAGACCAAAAGGGACACAAAAAACATGCACCTTGTTTCTTGGGCAGGAGGAAAGGACACACATCCCAAGTGTTTTCCAATAAAGTCTTTTCCTTTCTTTCTGCCCGTCTCTCTCACTCCATGGTCACACAAAAGACACCACCTAATCAATTATTCCCTCAAATCCAAGGGAAGGGCATGGTCAGGGAAATGGGATCATTAAATACAAGCTTTCAGTCAGAAAAAACACTCTAAAACTTGTGACCTGTCTCATATAAAAGCTTTTTAGCTGCTCTGAAGTGAGTAACCAGCACCCCGAGGTTTCTTGGATGCAAAAATTAAATTCTCTGTATAAAAGGAAAAAAACCACCATTTGAAGGAAAGCTCTGTTGGTTTCACCAGAATTTCTCACATTTATACAAAATATACTGCTTCCAATACCCTTTCTTTATAAACTTATATTTTTCTGGAGTGAATTTTTAATTTTGCAAAGCATTAGAAGTCACAGGAAAGTTAAGAACAATACAAATACAATAAAAAAATACGAGAAATTATTCCTGTACCTTGTTGAGTTTGCCAAGGGAAGATATCAGATCTGCCCATTCACTGGATGATTCAAAGTTTCTCAGAGCTTTCTCAATTGCTGAAGAATAATTCCTGTATCTGTAATCCCCCAGCAAATCCTGCTCTTCTGGATCCATCTTTGGTTCTCATAGCAAGGTGGAACCTCCTGGTGAACTAAAACATGCAAAGAGTTACAAAAATAACCCACATTTTCAGCTCTTGCAAACTCAAAAGCACTGTAAGATAACAATAAATATGCAGAAGCCCTGGCAGAGCACAATAAACAGGTCAGCAGAGCAAGCTGAAACACAGAGTTAAGAGTCATGCCCAGGGAATTATTTTTAACTCCCCAGTGCCTCTTTTGGAAGCTTTGCAGTCACATTTTCCTACTCATGAACCGTGTTTTTCCCCTCCCCTGCACGTGGATGTCCCACAAAAACAAAGGGAAGGATGACAAAGTCTCCCCCCCCCAAAGGAGGAGAAGGAAATAGTTTTCATAACTCGTTCTCTGCGCTGAGCTTTGCAAGGTCAGCGTGGAATGGGAAACATTCCATATCAAAATGCAGCTTTCCAGAGGAATCCTGCTCAAGGGCCTCTCAGCAGAAGGAGCTCTCAGGGCTCTGCATCTCAGCTTGGCAGGAGCAGATGCTCCAGTACCAGACCAAGGTGTTGTGCCAAAAAAGCTCAGCCACGCGTTTTAATCTTCCTTATTTCGACAAAAAAAAGCGTCCCCGTGTTTTTAGGGAGGAAAAATAAGTTGTTCAGATCCCGTTTTCTCATGTTTTGCAAGGCATTTAGGTTAAAAATCCAACATACACCTTGGTTTAGAACAGTGGAAAACGAGCACAGTTGGATTTTCTGTACTGAAAAATAATTCCTTCACTCCTTTGTTACCTCTGACACCAGTTCTCCCGATAGAATATATAAAAATATTCTTCTGGAATATTCTAAATATGCTTAGGTTTAGGAACAGCAGGTTTAGGTCAATCCCTGCTACATCACTGATGGAGAAGAGAAAGCACAGCTCAAAACCAAAATATTTTATGTTTCTGAAAGACATCTGCATTCACTTCCCTGTGGTTAGAACACAAAAATACACCTATATTCTTTTAGAGCAGGTCTCCATTAACTGCAACACACAACAATAACTAAATCAATAAAGGAATTTTGGCAGGAAACTCTCAGAAAAATGCCTGATGAATCCCCAAAAGAGAAAGGAGTTTAAATGCACCTTTGCACTCCCCTAAGGAGGATTCAGCCACTGCCAGTACAACCACCCTGTGCCATCCAAACTAGATCCACCTCTAGGGGAGAAAAAATAAATATCACACAGTGTCATCAGGGCCAGATTTGGTTGGTTGGGTTTGTTTGTTTGGCTACAGTGAGGGTTTAATTTTTGGTTTTCCCAGGATGTTTGCAGGGCTTCTGGCAGCAGAGAGAGCGAAAACCCCACTGCCCTGCAGGGTAAACCATTTATCTGGGATACAGCTCTTCTTGCTCCAACAAGGATTTAAAAGAAAAAAAAAAAAAGTCAATTCTCCCATAAAACCCAACAAAGTGGAAAATACAAAGTGGAAAATTGCAAGGTACTGTCAGCAAAAATCAGGAGTAATCTGATATAAACACTGCCAGGGCAAGAAATGGAACCCTGCTTCCCTCATCTCATCCAAGTACCTTAATCACTGGACTGTGTTCATACTCTTTAGATCAAAGCATGAGCTAGGAAGTTATTCCAGCAGCTCCCTGCCAAGTCAGGGCTGCTGGCACTTCCTTGAACAGGAGATTTGTCTGGATCCCCTGGAATGGGGCAGCACTTCTGCTGACAGGACACATCAGATCTGGAAATGCTGTAAAACCACTCAGAGAACGGGAATCAATCCAATTATCAGCAGAACGTCAAGAGGGTCTAAATATCCTATAAAAATCATGTTCCAGAGCATCTTTTGGAGCATTAAAACCTGGTGTGTTTATCACAGAGCGGTTTTGGTGGGAAGATCATCCAGTTCCACCCCCTTCCCCTATCCCAGGTTGCTCCAAGCCCTGTCCAACGAGGCCTTGGACACTTCCAGGGATGGAATTTCTCTGGGCAACCTGTGCCAGGGCCTCATCACCCTCACAGGGAAGGATTTCCTCCTAATATTTAATCTAAACCCGTTCTCTCCCTGTTTAAAGCCATTTAAGTAAAATCTAATTAGTTTCTGAGGGTAAAAGAGAATGTACTACCCAAGAGAAAAAAAACCCAACTAACAAAACTTCATTTGGGGGGGGAAAAAAAAATGTGTCATTCAGTTCTTAAGACACTATTTGGATTTTGCAGTGAAAGGACAGGTAAATGGTGTATTCCCAAGCAGAAAAGCAGGGATGGGTGGAATGCTCTGGCGTGGATTGATGGCCATGCACCTCAGCTGCCAGATGTCAGCGAGGTTTGGCAAAATCCAGTAATCTAAACATGGTCAACAGATCGTGTTTGTGCTTGGACACAAAGGCAGGAAGATTAAAAAAAATATATAAATAGTTAAAAAAAGGCAAACAAAAGCCACTTGCCAGTGACCTTCAGGCACACCTCCCAAATCCTGGGTCACAAACTTCCTTAGTGAATCCTGATGTTAATAGTTTCTCATCAGCTTCCAGCACTGATGGTAAAAACACAAGTTCCACCTCAATACGAGGAAGAACTTCTTTCCATGGAGCGGGGCAGAGCCCTGGAACAGGTTATCCAGGGAGAATCGCGGAACATCCTGAGCTGGGAGGGACCCACTGGGATCATCCAAGGGTGCCCAGGACACCCCAAGAATCCCCCCCTGTCCCTGGGAGCGTTGTCCAAACGCTCCTGGAGCTCTGGCAGCCTTGGGGCCGTGCCCAGTGCCCCGGGGAGCCTGGCAGGGCGTGGATTCTCCCCCTCTGGAGACATTCCCGACCCACCCGGGCGCGTTCCTGTGTCACCTGCCCCAGGTGACCCTGCCCGGGGGGGGGGTCGGACTGGGCGAGCTCCAGAGGTGCCTCCCAACCACAACCATTCTGGATTCGGGGATTCGGGGAGGTGAATGCGGCGCTCCCGAGGCACCGGCGCTGCCCCTCCGGCGTCCCCGTCCCCATTCCCATTCCCATTCCCATCCCCACCTGCCGGGGCCGTGCCAGGGAGTCACCCCCGGGACAGAGCGGGATCCCCCTCAGCCGGGTCCCTTCCCCTCCCTCCCGGTACCTGCGGAGGGCCCCGCTGGGTCCCGGGGCGGCGGCGGTGACGTGTCCCGGCGCGGTGCCGGCGCGGGGCGGGCGCGGCTCCCGCAGTGGATCCCTATGGAAACGGCCCCTCTGGAAAACCGCCCCCGCCCGCGCCGCCAGGGCCGCAGCGGGGCGAGATCACCCAGCACCGCGCGGGGGGCGCCATCTCATAGCCCAGTGTAGCACGGCTCCAGGTGTCCACGTTACGCCGCGGTCGCCCTCGACGTCACCCGCTGTCGTTGTCACCCTTCTCCCGGTGTCACCCGCTGTCGTGTCGCTGAGCGGCACCGCCCGTAGCGGGTCTCCTGTCACCCCGATCTCCCCCTCCGCGGTGAAATGGTACAGCCCGGCGGCCGGTCGGAGCGCCGGGCGCCCCCTGGCGGCGCGGGCGGGAAGGGCGGCTCCCCCCGCGGCCGCTCCGACCGGGAGAGCCCCGGGAAGCGTCGGGAGCATCGGGATAATCGGCACCGCTCCCTTGTCCCGCCGCACCGGCCTCGGGTGGCTTGAGAACAAGGACAAGCTCGGCTGTCCCCGCCCCGCAGCGAGGGCCGTGACCTGCCCTGCAGGTAACGCGAGTGTCGGCGCTTCCCGTGTCCCGGCTGTGCTCCCGGTCCGGCCGGTTTGAGGGAAGAGGCGGATTTGGGGGAATTTCGTAGACGCGGTTTTCCCGTGGCGTCGGTTGTCGCATTTATAGCGGGCTCGGGGTCGATATGAGGAGCCCTCTGTTCGCGGCAAAAGGCTCGGGAGAAGGTTCATGTGCGGGATTTGGAACCAAAGGGACGAGGAAATCGCAGCTGGGAAGGAAAATACGTGATCCTGCCCCACCAGGATTCAGGCACTGTGGAAACGTTGCTTAACCTCAACTGTGCCCTACAAGGATTCATATACATATATGTGGAAACATATTATTCAACCTCAGTTTCTTCCTTCCCTTCCCCTTCCCCCTTCCCCCTTCCCTTCCCAAACCTTCCCTTCCCAAACCTTCCCAAACCTTCCCTCTCCATTTAACAAGCAGGCAGAACTTAATCCTGGTAGTTCAAAGTAGGTGGGAAAAAAACCAAAATCGAGGAAGATCCAACTGTTCAGTCCCTCAAGGTGAGAGAAGAGAAACCATTCAGATTTTGATGGAAATTGTTTGAGCAACGACCTCCAGCAAGTGTTACATTAATATACTGTTTTATTTTCTTGAGCCCACCTGCCTTTCCCCCTCCTAGATAGATTTTTGGGATTTTAGGATATTTTTCAATTAGTTTCTGAGGGGTTGCTCTCCCTCTTCAGAAGTTCTTTCCCTCACAAATTCGTGTTCTTTGCACCAGTTGTGTGTGGTTCCTTCCATGCACCAGGGCAGCGCTGCCCGTGCTAAATCCTGGCCCTTGGGATGGCATCAAGTCGTGGATTTACTGATGGAATCACTGCTGGAGACAGCCAAGGCTGCACTTTGGTATCCTGAAGGTTCACTTCAAACTCCATGGGATGTTGCCAGAGATCTGTTTGCTTCTCATTGGGAAAGTCAACTGCAAATGTGTGTCACTTGTCAGGTGTTTTTTACACTTGTCTGCATGTTGGGTGACACTACAAGACTTGGGATCAATTAAAATTATCCATGACACAAATGAAGTCTCAAGAGTTCTGGTCATCCAGTACCTAAAGGAGCTACAGGAAGGCTGGAGAGGGACTTGGGATGAGGGATGGAGGGACAGGACAAGGGGAATGGCTTCCAACTGACAGAGTATGTCAGTTGATGGGATATTGGGAAGGAATTCTTGGCTGGGAGGGTGGGGAAGCCCTGGCACAGGTTGCCCAGAGAAGCTGTGGCTGCCCCTGGATCCCTGGAAGTGTCCAAGGCCAGGTTGGACGGGGCTTGGAGTGACCTGGAATAGTGGAAGGTGTCCCTGCCCATGGCAGGGGGTGGCACTGGATGGGCTTTAAGGTCCCTTCCAACCCAAACCATTCTGGGATTCTCCCTCAGAAAGTCCCAGGGCCCTGGCACAGTGTTTATACCCAGCTGATGTGGCAGCAGGCACAGCTTCCACCCCCAAAAAGCCTGGCTGTGTCCTGCAAGAGCTGTGGCATTCCCAAGGAACTGCCTCCCCTGAGCTCCCACAATTGTGAATCCAACTCCTTCATTGTCCCATGTCACCACAGCTCCTGCACTTCCAGGCATTTCCTCTGGCTAACAAATTCCAAAGTAAAACTGGGGAGTGACGTGCCCCCAGAAGAGAAGCAGTAAATCACAGGTGGAAGTTTCCTCCAGCACAACAGACCAGAATTATTCCAGCCCTTTCCTAACCCTTAAACTGGACACAAGAACCACTCTGCAAGAGCCAGAATCTGAGAGCAACAAAACGCTTCAGACACAACAGGCACGGGAGAGAAGCAGGGAGGGAGCTAAAAATCCCCAAGTAAATAGATAATAAATAAATTTTGGTTGGACAATGCAGGCCCTGTGCAGAGAGCCAGCCTGGCCCTGGCTCTGCTCTCAGCAAACAGCCCTTCCCTGGCACTCTGCCCTGTGCTGTCCCAGCTCTCTTCCCAGGACACATTCCCACTGCCAGTGTCAGCAGGGAATGTGTGCAGCTTCTTCCTGATTCATCTTGGGAACAGCCAGTGTGTTCTGCCTTGTTTCCACCTCCAGCAGCTGAGGTTGGATCCACCCACACAGCTGATTCTCCATCCTGGAATACCACAGCACAGCTGCAAAGGTTGTGAGAACATCTGTCCTCTGTCCTGCTTCCTATTCATTCCACAAAAAAATGTATTATAATCAATATTAGCATGAGAAATGACATTGCTGACAGTGACAATCCAGCCCAAACCTTCCACTTTGTGTCCTCACCCTGACACAGAATAAGTGGGTTTAACAAACAGCAAACACTGTGAAAGAGCTTAATTTCAAATACATAAAATCATCATGGGATGGTTTGGGTTGGAAGGGACATTAAAAATCATCCAATTCCACCCCCTACCATGGGCAGGGACACCTTCCACCAGCCCAGGTTCCTCCAAGCCCCGTCCAACCTGGCCTTGGACATTCCAGGGATCCAGGGGCAGCCACAGCTTCTCTGGGCAACCTGGGCCAGGGCCTCCCCACCCTCCCAGCCAGGAATTCCTTCCCAATATCCCATCTAACCCTGCCCTCTGGTAGTTTGAAGCCATTCCCCCTTGTCTTGTCACTCCATCCCTTGTCCCAAGTCCCTCTCCAGCTCTCCTGGAGCCCCTTTAGGCCCTGAAAAGCAGCTGTAAGTTCCTCCTGGAGCCTTCTCTTCTCCAGGCTGAGTGTTACATGAAGTTTTACAACTTTATAAAACTCTCCAGGTTGAATTTTACACCTTTTGTAAAAAACTTTCAAGCCTATAATTTGGCTTGAATGTTACAAAAAAAACCAACCAAACAAACCAACAAACCACATCAAGAAGGAACTTTACAGATCCTGGTGGATACTTAAGACACTTAATTTGTATTTAACACTGGAGATACTATTTACACAACAGGAAGGGCACACACAGACTGTGGATCTTTCAGTCAAAAACTTTGCACAGGGATTTTGTAACTGTTGCCCTTAAACCAAAGGCCTGTGAGATTTTTTTTCCTTTTTTTTTTGTTCCCAGAGAATAGATTTCCATGGGAACTTTTGGAGCAGCACTCGACCTTGTCTTCAAGCAGCTCTGGGCCATGACTCATTTGGCAATTCCTCACAAAAACAATAGCTCCTGGATCCTTGAAAGACCAACTCCTAATCACACTTTGTTCTGTGCTGATAAGCAATTCATAAACCCACACATATTATTTACCTCCAGTGTCCTTCACTCCTGCTCCAGTGCACTTAATTCAGCTTTTTAATAAGGAAACTTCTGGCTGTGCAATAAATGAACTGAGGGAGAGTTTGATTTATCAGTTCTCTGGTTTATTTTCTCTTTCTGTAGTGGAGAAATCACACATTCCAGCCACAAACTTGGCTGCAGAAAATCAAAATGCATTTTCAAACTTCAGACATTTTTAGTACCAGAAGAAGCCAGTTGGATGAACACAAATCAGTAAGTAATTATTTCTTGACATTATTAATAAAAACAACTGATTACATGTTTCTATTAATGGTACATCCTTGCTATTTTTATTTTCCCCTAATTTAATTTTCTTCTGAAAGTAAGGAATGTCTCTACACAGCAGTGATTTTGTTCTGGTCTTATGAGCCTCTCCCCAAACTGGTCACCCTGAAGCCCTAAAACAACTCACTGTCCTTAAGAAACAGCCTCAAGAAGCAGCTCTGGACCTCCCAAAGATCTGCTGTGCTCAGAAATAATAAGGCACCTACTTCCTCCCCCCAGCTCCATGTCTCCTGTGGGAAAAGGGGCTGGCAGGGGAGTGGGAAAAGGGCTGGCAATGACATAATGAAGAGTGAAATCAGGTAAACAAGGTCAGGCACCTTCCCATTCCCACTTTGCTCAGCTCACCAGGGGCAGACAGTTTTCTCGCTCACAAACTGCCCGTGAGGAGCGTCAGCATCTGAAGGCAAAAGGGCCAAATAAACCGGGGTCTCAGCCCCTTCCTCTGGGGATTTGGTGGCCTGGGGACCTGCCATGTCTGTCCTCACCCAGCCAGGGCAGCAGGCATTGAGCAGGATGTGCTCCCCTTTCCTATTTTGGTTTAACAGCCGGGCTTGGATCCTGGACAGGACGGTGACCCCGATTTTGGACACCCCATAGGCGGTGTTTGGCCAACCCTCTTTGTCGTGCACACCTTTCCTGGTGTCCTCCACGAATTTGTTCATGAGCTGCACCAACTCCTCCTCTGTGATGGTGTCACTGCGGAATTTCTGCTGGAGTTCCTGGCTGCAGCGGCCCAGGGCTGAGCAGCTCACCGTGCTGGACACGTTCACCACCCGGCCTGCAAAAGGCAAAAAAACCTGATTATTTTGACACTTCTTAAGCCCAGCACTGAGGTGGGGCTGCTCTACAGCTCAAATATTTCATGTGGGCTATCTTGCAGAACTCTGGGAAGATCAGAGTTAACTCCACGTGTCACACATTTCTAGGAAATCCCATTCCAGAGGTGATTTAATTAAACCCTCAACATCTGTTCCTGGATGTATTTCAGAACAGTTTGCACTTTATACTTGTCCTTCCCAGCCTTCTAGCTCCAAAATAGCCCTTTTCTATGGCCCTGAGAGGATCAGCATCACAATACATGCATGTTGCCAGCAGGGAAAGATCCTTATTTAGTAAGTTTGGAATAAAGAAAGATAGCAAGCAGCATCTCCCTGGAGTGCTCTGTTGTTTTTGCAGAACTCTGGGAAGATCAGAGTTAACTCCACGTCACACATTTCTAGAAAAATCCCGTTCCAGAGGTAATTTAAGCTGTGCACCTGCAAAAGCTCTCTATCAAATGTCACATAAGCCTCCAGGAAACAACCTCTTACAATCTGTAGGTATTTTCACAGTGCTAAGAATACCTGAGGATTTCCTAATCCCAGCAAAAAAACCTGCAGTGTTCATCTCCCAGCACTTCAGTACAGAGGAGTGAGTCAGGTAATCAGTAAATCATTCATTGTCTCCAACATTATCTTGCAGTGTTTTCCCTCTTTCTTGAGACTTTCCAGCCATTCAGGTGATGAACATGGGGATTTAACCTTATAAGGCACAGAAATTAATCCTTTCTGTTAATGATTTTATTAACACACTCACCCTTCACCCTTAGTATAAGAGTATAAGTTGTAATTTTGGCACTGTTTACTCCTTCCCTAGCTGGCCCCCAAAATTCATTTATTCTGTCTTCTCCTTCTCCACCAGGAACTAAAAATTCTCAAATTCTCTTTCATCTGCTTGACTTCTCTTCTCTTAAAAACCTGGATGTGTTTAAATGTTAGTATAAACTGCAGTTCATTTATAGCAGCAAACACATCTCAGCACCACGTCAAACTCAGCTGAAAGGCTGGTTTTAGGTACATCCCTATCCCAGTTCTGTCATCAAAATGTCCCTTCTGAAGCAAGAACAATTCATAGAGGCAAAGATCACGGAGAGAACATGAGGAAGTTCTCTATGGCTTCACTTCAATCCACAACAAGAATGCAACCAGCTTGAAGGCAGATTTAAATATACACAGCAGAGACATTTTGGGGGTCAAGAAAGCCCATCTGTCCTGACCTACAGCACAGCCCCTCTTGCTATGGGGCAGTGTCTGACACTGGAGAGGATTTTCCCATTTAATAAGGGTCAAAATTCATACAAAATTATTTCTGTTTCACTTACCATAGGGTTTCATAAGAGGCAACAATTCTGTGCAAACATTCTTGGTTCCAAAAAAGTTTGTCTTCAGTGTGACCTCAGCTTGGACTGCAAATGGAGTCTTGTCCTGAACTTTTCATGGCAGGTGGGAAAGAGGAGAAAAAAAAACCCAACCAAAAATCAGAATTGTACTGGTTGAATAGAAGTTACCAAACCCCAAAAGTTTATCTTAGTTATTTTTTAAACTACCAAACCTCAAAAGTGTAGCTTATTTTTTTCCCACTAATTAGAAAACGGGCATATGATCAATTAAAATCTATAAGAAAAGCAACATAATTGACATTAATGAGAAGACCTGGCTCTGCAATATTGTATTAATAAGTTAATTGTGTTTTTCACCTCTTCTTAGCTGAAGGTTTTGGCTTTACCCCAGGAGAGCCAGTTGTGTTCCCTCTGCAGGGTCATTTGTCACCCCACAGGTTGTTTGGTCTTTCTGTCTTTTATATGGAAAAGCCATGGAAAAACTGCTTTCCTGGGATGTGCTGCCCAACCTGCCCAGTGATCCGCCAGGACCTACCCACACCCAGGTTCTCAGCTGGGGCTTGAAGTCACCAACACCATAAAAGCTTCTGTAGGATTTGGTGCAGCCTGAATAAAGAAACTGCCAAAAAACCCCCAGCCACCCCCAAAACTGAGCAGTACTTGTGTCATAAATCACATAAATCACCCCCTGAAGTGACAGATCTGTGCTAACACACGGAAAAGAGTGGGAATTAGCAGGCAGGAAAAGGAGCTGCCTGACCTATGGCAAGGAGTTATGGCAGTGGGAGAGCTAAAAACCTACACAACTCCAAACTTTTGCTTCCATACCCTCCCTTCCTTGGAGAGAGGAACTTCCTTGCACTCCCAAACCCACTTGGATACACTGTAACATCCTACCCTTGCTTGATTTAACAGAATTTATAACTGTTCTCAGAGAGGCTCACCCAGAATAGGACCCACAGCTCCATAAGCATTTCATCCAGGAACAGTTTTTGCTGGACAATCTGGGGTGCAGCACAAAACCAGAATGATAAAATTTAACAGCAAATCTAATCTTTGACAGACTGCAACAGCACAATAAAGAAGGGAAGGCATAAATCCTGGGATGGCAGCAGAAATTTGGTGAGGCAAGAAGCAGGTTTGGGCAGAAACAATAACCTTGGGAGGAAGAATTAAAACAAAAATACGGGATAAGCATCACAGCAAGTTCTTACAGAGATGTTACACCCTCTAAGCTTTGTGTTAGATACTCACACAGCAACAGCCACAAGAGGCTCCTTTACCACATTTCTGAATTGTGGGACATACTGCTGACTCAGAGTTGGTGTCAGCTTGAACAAAGTCTGGGCTAAACACCTGGAAGTGATATTTTAACTGCTGCTGCAATGTTTTAATACCTCTCTGTCCTGAGCACACCCTGAAGCTCAGAATTATATTAAGAGCTGCCTCCCATTAAATTGATCAAACACAAGCAATTTTTCTATAAAGTAACATGCAAAACATACAGTGAGTGGGTTGTAGAAGACCATCACTGCACTCCCACTCCATGAGAAGTTCCACCTTCAGGGGCAGGTGAGGTTTGCTCCATACTCCCTGACAGACCTCCTTAATCCACACTGTGAGCAGAGGAGTCAGCACAAGGCTGGGCCTGAACAGCTCCCTGTCCTAACTGAGACAGGCAAAGAGACTAAAACCAACCAAAACCAACCAGAAAACAGGGTCACAGAATGGTTTGGGTTGGAAAGGACCTTAATCACCCAGTGCCACCCCCTGCCATGGGCAGGGACATCTTCCACCAGCACAGGTTGCTCCAAGAACCACCCAGCCTGGCCTTGGACACTTCCAGGGATCCAGGGGCAGACACAGCTTCTCTGGGCACCCTCATAGGGAAGAATTTCTTCCCAATATCCCACCTAACCCTGCCCTCTGTTAGCTGGAAGCCATTCCCCCTTCTCCTGTCCTGTCCCTCCAGCCCTTGGAAATAGTCTCTCTCCATCTTTCCTGGAGCCCCTTCAGGCCCTGCAAGGCCACAACCAGGTCACCCCAAAGCTTCTCCTCTCCAGGCTGAACAATCCCAGCTCTCCCAGCCTTTCCTCCCAGCAGAGCTGCTCCAGCCCTGGGATCCTCTTGGTGCCTCCTCTGGCCTCTCTCCAGCAGCTCCATGTCCTTGCTGGGCTGTTCCCCAGGGCTGGAGCAGCTCTGCAGGGGGGTCTCACCTGAGGGGGTAGAGGGGCACAATCCCCTCCGTAGAACAAGTAGTCAGGCTTGTGATTTGCTTTATCTAACATGATCTTGACTTGCTTTTATAAACACTTACAAGAAGAATGCACTTTTCCACCTTAAAACTGCTGTGGCTTCCTCACTTTCCCTGTGTTCCTGTCCACTGGGAGATGAAATGGTTACACTCTTTGCTCAGCACAGCAAGGTTTGGGTTAACTGGATTACAGGTAACTGAATAGCCTGAGAAAGTTAGAGACAACAGAAACCACCCAGGGCCAGTTTCTTTTTTATCAGCTGGATGCCTTGAGGAGGTAACACCCAGAACAAAGTATGAGGCTTGTGGAAGAGAGAAAACACAGATCCCCAAGGAACATGGCTGATATTCACCCTCAGGACGGGCTCCCATGGCCCTGGTGAGGCTCCTGGGCATTGAGGCAATTATCCCAACTCCACTCACATGCACTGCGTGCCTCAAGTGCTTCCATGCTCCCTGGGTGATGCAAACACAGCACTCCAGGGAAGCACGTTTACAGAATCACTGAGGTTGGAAAAAACTTCCAAGGTCATGGATCCACCCTGTGCCCCATCCCCACCTTGTCCCCCAGCCCAGAGCACTGAGTGCCACATCCAGGCCTTCCAGGGGACTCCAAACCTCCCTGGGCAGCCCCTGCCAAGGCCTGACCACCCTCTCCAGGAAGAAATGCACAGGCACAGACAGCCCAAGAGATCCCAGAAGACCCATTTCACATTGTCCTCAAGATAGGAAGCCTGCCCAGCCAAAAGTGCAGCATGTCACTGGCATCCAGATGTCAGCTGCATCCACAATCCTCTCCACACAGCTTGGCAGCACACAGGACTATCCCAGCCAGAGCCCTTCCTACCTTTGAAAGCGATGCCCGCGTTGTTCACCAGCACGTTCAGCCCTCCGTATTTCTCCTTCAGGAAGTCCCGGAGGGCTCTGATGCTCTGCAGGTCATCGATGTCCAGCTGGTGGAAGAGGGCCCGGAGCCCTTCCTGCTGGAGCTTGGCCACTGCCTCCTGCCCCCGGCCGGGGTCCCGGGCTGTCAGGTACACATCCCCCGGGAACTGCTTGCACAGGTCCCTCACGATGGCAAAGCCAATCCCTTTGTTGGACCCCGTCACCACAGCCACGGGCACGCTGGACATGGTCCTCCCTGGGTGTGTGTCCAGGTGACAGCAGCTGCCAACAGCAAAGAAACCTTCACTCAGATGGACAGTGTTGATGGAGAGGTACAGAGAGACAAAGCAAACGATCGACGTGATCAAAGCGATGTCCAATTTATTATTTAAATCAGTTAACTTTGATACAGTTTAGTTTGTTCTGGGTACATGCTCACAGCAGGGTGATTGGATAGCTCAGTCTGTGCACGCCTCTCAGTTTATTGGACCTGGTTCTTTGTCCACGAGGCCTAAGATCATACTTGGCATGCAAAGCTCTTTCTATTCGAGATCTGCAGGTGTTTCATTATCTCCGGTTTCTCAAGGCTTTCTTACTATAAACATACTATGTTCTCAAACCTTATAATTATAAACACACGGCTAACAAGTATAAACGTTGCATATTTTCACACAGCTTATAAGTATAAACGTTACACCGCCTGCCACTTCCGAAGTCATGGCAAGCAAGGCCTGCAGAATGCAGGAAAAATTGTTCAGAGAAATCTCTCTGTTCCGGCCACAGGACAAAGGTGGATATTGAAAAGGAATTAAAGTCAGGGAATAGTTTAAGTAGGAAGGAACCTTAAAGATCATCTAATCCAACCCCCCACAACAGGCAGGGACACCTTCCACTAGACCAGGTTGCTCCAAGCCCTGTCCAACCTGGGCTTGAACAACACCATGGGTGTGGAGTCCACAACTCTTCTGGCCAATTAAGTGGGTTTTTTTCTTTAAAATACTATTTCAAATTCCAGCTTGAATTATGTGAAGCTACATTACTGACTGGAACTTCTTAAAGTAGCCCGAGGTGTCCACAGAGAAACACACACCCAGTGCTAAATGTTTCAAAGAAAACCCGGGCAGTGACTGGGCAAAAAGAAGAAAGAAAGGTCTTTACCAAAGAAAGTCAATGATTAATTTTTAGTACTGAATTAACTTTTGGTGGGAGTAAACTCTTCCGCACTTACACTTCACAGAAAGCCCATTTCCTTCTTTTGGGAATATTTCAGCTGGTTCAGCTGAAAAACTCAGGCTCAAAACCTGAGCAACTTGGTCTAGTGGAAGGTGTCCCTGCCCACGGCAAGAATTGGATGAGCTTTAAGGTCCATTCCATGGGAAAAACATGGGAAAAAAAAAAAAAAAAAAAAAGGAAGGAGCAGCTTGATCTCCAAGTGCCAGGTGGGAGAAGTAATTAGAGGATTTTCAGAGGGAAAAGAGCAGAGCACAGGCTGACAATGTTTATACTGCCGAACACACCATCACCTCTAGACAGAAAGCCTGCTTGCTGTTTTTCAAACAGATACGGCGCATTTAAAGAAGACGCATTTCCCGCACGAAAGCAAGTTTAAAACGCTGTTTTTACATAATTTCCACCTCTCTTCCCATCTCGCCTGTAACTAACCCCGCGCGTGGATGACACCCCAACCAGCTCCTGCCTTCCCAGAGCCAGGAGCCCCCTTCCCGCCTCACGGCAAACGCGTTTTCCCCTCACTCCCACTCCCTCAGGAGCGGGTCCCTAACGGGGAGGGCACGCCCGGGCCGCCATGAGCCCCGAGCCCCAACCCCCTCAGGGCACCGCGGTCTGAGGGACCCGGGGGGGGCTTCCAGCACCTCTCACCCACCTCCAGCACCGCGGGTGCCTTCCCCCTCGTCCCTCAGCTCCGCACACAGAGGAAACCACACGCTGCTCCCCCCAAAAACCAGACGATCGCAGTACCGGGGAAGGGAGATGCGAACGCCCCTAAGATGGCGGAGCAGCCCCGCCTCTGGGGCGGGAACGAACTCGCCGTGAGGGAAACCGAGCTATGTCGGTGCCTGTGTCCTGCCCGGGAGGTGGGTTTGGAGCACCGGGAAGCGATTCCAGCCCGGGAGGGACTCGGGAGCGGCAATTTAGGTTGCCAGGGGAGGGTGCTGTTGGGTCTGCCATGGAGGGTGCGCGGGGCACGGGGCGGTCCCGGAGCGGTCGCTTCCCTCGGGAAGTTCCCTCGCAGCGCCGCCTTTGAGTTCTGCTTCTCTCCCGCCCCTCACGTCCCGGGGGGTTGTGCCGAGCCGGGAATGGAGGTGGTGTTAGCACAGGCTTCCCAGTTCGAGGGGTAGGATGCGATGGGGTGGTGTTGTCCAGGAGCCCGACCGCCTGTGGGTGCTCCCGGTTCCCCGCCCGGCCTCTCTCCTTGCAGGGAAAACCTGCGCTCCTGAGGGTCAGTTCAGGGCGCTTTTGGCAAAGCGAAGAATATCGGGAAAAGGTTCTTCCCCCAGAGGGTGGTGGGCACTGCCCAGGCTCCCCAGGGCAGTGGGCACGGCCCCAAGGCTGCCAGAGCTCCAGGAGGGTTTGGACAACGCTCTGAGGGACAGGGGGGGATTGTTGGGGTGTCCTGGGCAGGGCCAGGGCTTGGGCTTGGTGATCCTTGGAGATCCCTCCCAACTCAGGATATTCCGTGATTCTGGGAAAGATGATGCAGTGCCACCCCCTGCCACGGGCAGGGACACCTTCCACCAGCCCAGATTGCTCCAAGCCCCGTCCAACCTGGCCTTGGACACTTGCAGGGATCCAGGGGCAACCACAGCTTCTCTGGGAATTCTATCCCAGCCCCTCCCCACCCTCACAGGGAATGAAAAGTACTTTAAATATTTGTAAGTAACTTTTTTTTTTTTTCTTTTTTAGAGTTCAGGTTGTCTAAATAAAGCAAAATCTGTTGCTTGATATGAAGAAAAACAGAGGTCGGACAGGCCGGAAGAGAAGAAGAAAACACTTGCACACTTTTGTGGATGGAGGTACTATCCCTGAAAGTTAAATAATAAAATAAACCAATTGCTTTTCAAGGTATCTTTCTATGGTTTATATTTGCAAACACCTTTGTGTTTTTTTGCTCTCAGGCACGTGGTAGGATTGTTGGGATTGTCCCGGGCAGGGCCAGGAGTTGAACTCAATGGTCCTGATGTGTCCCTTCCAACTCAGGGCGTTCTATGATTTGCAAAAACCTTTGTGTTTTGAAAATGGTATTAATAAATGTTACATTTTTTTAATATGCAAATATTGTAGCATTAGTTTACAGTCACCAGCACGGCATGGTGAGTACTGTGAGCTCTCTTTTCTGGCTCCTGACAAGTACTACATTATTCTTAAATTCCTTGAATATACTGAATAACTCACACAATTCTGAGACCTCCCAGTAACCAGAGGCCCAAAATTTAGTTAGTTAGTTCTAGGGGAGCCTTTCTCGCTATTTTTTTATGCTTTAAAATGTCTTAAGATTTGCTTGTCTGACTACACAGTGAAATTTTTAAATTTCCTTTCTTTTCCAGCAGGAAATTATAGCCTTTTATAGAATTAATTTTTTTTTAATTTATTTTTAGTCAACTGCAGTCACAAGCTGGAGTACATTAAACTTAAGAAGTGGCTAAAAGACAGAGGATTTGAAGACAGTATTTTAAGGCCAGCAGAGTTCAGGGGTAATGTTTTAATTCTTTTATTGATGGTACAAATTTCTGATTCTTCTGAGAACGGTAGATTCCTGATGTAAGTTTTTTACACCTGGGTGGCATCAGGAAAAAAGCCAGTTACTGTTAGTCTTTTAAGGATTTTTGGCAAATGCACATGAATATCAATTTAACAGAAACAAAAGTTGCACACCTATGCTGAATTCCTAGTAAAAGCTGAAATTTTAAGTGTTAGTAGCACAGTTTTAAAGAAGTGTTTCTGTGTTTCCAGCATTGGAACCTAACCTTGTTCTCATTTGTTCATCTTTTTTTTTTCCTCAAGCAAGTTCAGCAGATCTAGTGATACACATAAATAAATTCTTTTAGAGCTGGGATTCACTTAGTAATGTTTACAGTAAAGGTATATGCTTGTATTTTTTTCTCTTTAAGTAGGTTATGTTTCCAAATTTTTTGCAATGTTAATGGAGAGTAGAAAGAATAGAATGAATCAGAGAAAAATATTGTGACTGGAAATTATAAAGTTTAGTTGAAACTCTGAAACTAAGAACTGCAGCTGGTGATGATAGATATGTTTGAAGAAAAAATTGAGAAAAACAAGTGGAATAATTGCCAGAACTGGGAGAAAAAGGAGGTGAATAGTGGCTAGAACTGAACAGCAAGTGCTGCAGGGGATGCAGGGAGAGGATCCTAAGAAATAAAGAGAGTTGGAGAACAAAGAAATTAAATATATGTATGGAACAACCCATAACTGGCTTTTATGATTTGGAAGAGATAATGTCTATTCTTTTAGAGCTTTTCCTTGCTGACCTGATCACAGATTCCTGATTTCACATGTATACATGTATTTACTTGTGCTTTTTGTTCCTGCCTCAGAGACAGGAAGAGGACTGATGGCAACAAAAACTCTTCAGGTCAGTGATGTTGGTCCTGCTGCAGCATCTCCTCAGGTTCTTTTGAGGTGGAATGAGTTTTTACAAGAAGCAAAACTTAGAATTCCAGACAAGGAATTCTGTTGTGAATGTAATTTCTGGCCTCTGACCTTCACTTTGAAGCTTCTGTGTTGGTAGATTAATTAATAGGAACATCATTTCTCAGGCATTTCCAGCAGGAAAAGGGAATAATAGAAAAAAATTCCTTGCCCTGTGGATATTGGAACTCTGACTGAAAAAGCTTCTTGGAAAATAGGTTTGTTGGAGAAGTTTCCTAAGTGGTGTGAGGATAGTAAATGAAATAATGGTGAATCAGAGCCAGGATCTTTGGCAGAACAGGGAGCAAAGCAAGAGGTGGGAAGGAGATGCAGTGGCAAAGTCCCGTGCAGAGGACAGTGTGTGTTCTCATCCTGGCTCAGGTGGAGACCTCAGAAGCCAGAGGTTTCCCCCAGTGCTGGGAGCCTGCAGTGAGTGCAAAGCACTGAATCCAACTGGGCTGGAACAAGACAGGGAAAAATCAGGAGCTGAGTGGGAAGAGCATTGAGTGGATCCATGTGCTCTCCCTGCAGCAATGGGCACACGTGGCTCCAGCCAGGCATGAAAGCTGATTTACCCCCAGCAGCCTGGCAAGCAAGGTCAGGGGAGACATGACCTAAAATATCCCTGCCACGTGCTGCTTGTT